TCGCTTAGGCAATACCAAGGTCACTGCCTTGTCCTTCTCCTGTATCGCTTTAGGTATAACGAAGCCTCTTGTGTTCCATGTCACTCTTTTGTCGGTTGAACTCCATCGTTCTAGAGGTTCGGCCCTGTATCCAAATGTGTCATCAGGATCCCTCTTCTGTATCGCAACGTTCCATGAAACGAAACAAGAACAAAAGGTCAGGGAAATCAGGTAGCCCCACTGAGTGCTGCATCACCACTTGGTTTCGCACCAGTCGCTGCGTTGTCCTTGTTGCCCTCTGCATCCGGCCGTGCGGCTTCGCTGGCAGCAAAACTCTGCTCAAAGTCGTGAATGATGTCGTCGATGTGCTCAATTCCAACACTGATTCTAATCATGTCTTCAGTGACGCCCGAGTCTATCCGCTCCTGCTCGCTCAGTTGTTCGTGGGTTGTCGACCACGGATGAATGGCGAGCGTCTTTGCATCACCGACACTGCACTCTGATTAGCGGGGCACAGCTTTGGGGCAATTCAGGAAAGAATACTCACTTGGCGAGGTTGGAGATAATCTTGAACCCGTCAACCACTTGCGAACCTGCAGCAGAGCCACCCTTGACACCGACAGACATGACTCCTCCAAAACCGCGGGGAAGATATTTCTTGGCTAGTTGATGGTAGGGATGGCTCTCGAGCCCAGGATACGACACCCACGCCACGTTGGGATGTTTCTCGAGCCATCTGGCCAGCTTCAGAGCGTTCTCTGCAATCCTCTCGCATCGCAAGCTCAGCGTTTCAGTGCCCAAGATGAACTGCTGGGCGTTGAATGGCGACATGCAGGATCCCAAGTCACGCAAGATCTCTACACGCACTCGAATGAGGAAAGCCAAAGGGCCAAAGGTATCAACAAATTTCAAGCCATGATAGCCGGGAGCGGGATCGTTGAATTGAGGGAATCGTTTCGCGTTAGCTGCCCAATCAAACTTGCCTGAATCGACAATGATGCCACCAATCGAGGTGCCGTGGCCGCCAATCCATTTGGTGGTGCTGTGCACCACGATGTGTGCCCCATGTTTGATCGGCTGGCAGAAGAAGCCACCGGCGCCAAAGGTGTTGTCCACCACCAAAGGCACACCCTTGGCATTGCAGATTTTGGCAATAGCCTCAAAGTCTGGGACGTTGTAGCGAGGGTTGCCAATGGTCTCGACATAGACAGCTTTGGTCTTGTCATCAATAGCTGCCTCGAAATCTTCGGGCTTTTCCGAAGTCAAAAACTTGGTGTGAATCCCCAAGCGCGGAAACATGACTTTGAACTGGTTGTAGGTGCCGCCGTACAGGTTGGATGTCGAGACGATGTTGTCCCCGGCATGCGCCAGCGCCGCAATGGTCATGAACTGGGCAGCTTGGCCAGACGAAGCGGCAACAGCAGCAATGCCCCCTTCGAGGGCCGCAATTCTTTTTTCCAAGACATCCACAGTAGGATTCATGATCCGGCTGTAGATGTTCCCAAACTCTTTCAGGCCAAAGAGCCTGGCGCCGTGAGCGCTGTCATTGAAAGTGAACGAGGTGGACTGGTAGATGGGGACAGCGCGAGAGTTGGTGGCAGGATCTGGCGAATGGCCAGCGTGGACCTGAAGGGTCTCGAACTTTTGAACCCAGTCGTCCGAAGGCATTGTGAAGATCGCCGGTTCTGTAGCAGGATGGGCTTTGACAGCTCAGCTGAAGAGGGGAGTGACACGAGGTGGTGAAGTACAAGACTGCAGGCTTGCTAGAATGGCTGGATTGCTGAAGAGAGGTTATATGTTTTCTTAGTAGAGGAATGGAGGAGGGGAGAAGGAAGTTGGTCTCGGGTCAAAGGCCACGAAGAGATGCACCAGTGACCTTTGTGAGAATAGCTTCTGAAGATGGCGTGCAAAAGAAAGAAAAGTCTCTGTGAGCTCTGGAGGGGTTCCTCCCTCGTAAGCTCTCAGTTGGTCACCTTTTCCACCAGCTTCGAGTGCCTCGAGGCCAGTTTCCCCGCATTCGAAAGACTCAATTGGACGCGGTGCTAAGAATTGCGTGATCGGGCCATCAACCCACGTCAGTTTCCCAACCAGAAATCCTCCTCGTATCTCGACGACTGCGCAAACTCAAAAAGCGACAGAGAAGGAGACGAAGAAAGACCGTCATTTCTTGCCCATGTTCGTTTCCCCAGTTGGTGACTTGGCTGCGCTGCGCTGCATTGCGCTGGGAAGTGAAACTGCGGAGCTCGATTCTACAAGAATCCCATGTACAAGCAGCAATGCGAATAGCCTTGTCCCAAATCGGTCAAGGTCATTTCTTCGGGTAGTTGACCAATTCTGGTACCTGGCATAGCTGCATGGGATGCTGGAAGTCATTCAGTTGCTAGATGGCTATCTTGTTATCTTCCCATTCTGAGATCCGAGGCTGAGGAGTTAAGACCATCCGGCCCAGATTCTTCGGATCCGGGACGGAGAAGGACGTCCACTTAGCTAAGCGAAATTCCTCCAAACAGAAAAACTACTAGAACCAACGGCGCTGCAAGATCCATGACGGTGTATTTATCGACTTTGTGAGCCCCGTGGTTTTCTTGTATATGCAAGAATAGGAGCAGTCAAAGCAGACGACATCACCCAATGGCTCTGGGGCTGAACAGCATAAGCCATGATCTGCGCAATCGAATAATACCCCTGCGCGGCCACAGGCCAGCCTTTCTTGAATTCCGCTCGTCCAAGATATTCATTGTTTTCGCGGTGTGCTGGTCTGTCTTCACTGTAGGTACCTCTCTGTCAAGAATTCATGGCGGTACAGGTGCTCACCTCGGTCCAGGATGTCTTCCTTTACGGGGTAATCGTTCCCGTCATCCCCTTTGCCCTCCAAGATCGAGTCCATGTGGACCATGATGATACGCAGCATTGGGTTTCGGTCCTGCTCTCCGTATATGCAGCTGGATTGCTAGTGTTCGCTCCGATCTGTGGCATTATGGCCGACTGGACCAGCTCTCGCCGTGGGCCATTTCTTGCAGGCCTGGTCATCCTTGCCGGGTCAACTTTGATGCTATGCTTGGGCAGAACCATCCCCGTGCTAGTGGCGGGAAGGGTGTTGCAAGGAGTGTCGGCTGCTGTGGTATGGGTGGTCGCCCTAGCACTTTTGGCTGATACGGTGAGCGAGCAAGAATCAGGTCAGGCTATTGGATATGTCAGTCTGGCGACTTCGCTGGGGGTCTTGGTGTCGCCACTGATTGGCGGTGTGGTATACGAGCGGTCAGGGTACTACGCCGTGTTCGGGGTGACCTTTGCGGTGATCGGATTTGATATCGTCTTGCGACTGGCCTTGATCGAGAAGAAAATCGCAGCCCGATGGCTTGAACCAGAAACTACTTCAGATCAGCCAATATCCACCGCCGCCCTTCAACAGGATATCGAACTTGACGATCGAAATAACTCAACCGCTGTGGCCGAGAAAAATGCAACAACAGCAGTCGCCGAGCCTTCTGTCACGCGCCCTAAGCGAAAATTACCGTCCATCTTGATTCTGCTCAAATCGCGACGTATTCTGGTGGCGTTCTGGGGGAATCTTGTGGGGTCCATGACCTTTACGGCCATTGATACGACTCTTCCCTTGTATGTGAACCAGGTTTTTGGCTGGGATTCTCTGGGAGCCGGATTGACTTTCCTGGCATTGATTGTGCCAGGCTTCGCAGGCCCATGGATAGGACATCTGACAGACAAGTACGGTCCGCGCTGGATCGCAGCGTCTGGGTTGCTGCTGTCAGTACCCTTTTGGGTGTTGCTGAGGCTGGTTGACCACGACACCGTCGGCCAAGCAGTCTTACTGTGCGCGCTGCTGGTACTTTTGGGAGCCGCTACCGCGCTTCTCTTGACCTCACTGATGGCAGAATTCAGCAAAGTATGCGATGCAAAGGTGCGGCAGGAGCCCGATGTCTTTGCTGGGAAGTCTGCGTATGCCCAGAGCTATGGGATCTTCAATGTGTCATGGGCCGGGGGGAGTCTGCTCGGGCCGTTGGTATCGGCCGCCGTCAAAAATGCTTCGGGCTGGAAGACCATGACGTGGACCATGGCACTGTGGTGCGCCGTGGGGATTTTGCCTACTGTTCTGTATTCCGGGGGCATGATCTCGCGGGAGAAACGACGTGGAAATGGTGCAAGTAGTGGCGAAGTTGTAGCGGTTGAGAGTGCCTAGAGACGCGTCGGGTGGGACAATGACATGACTGTAAGGGAGGGTGAGATGTGGCGCCAACTCGTGATGGCGTCTCTCTGATGAGGATCGTGGTATTGGTGACGATGGTGATAGTAGTCAGAGATGGTGTTATGTCGTGCTGTCGAATCAATCACCGTGACGCGGTTGAATCTGAAACGCGGCCCCTGCGCATCGCGACTGTCGCAGCCTTAGCCCCAACAAACTGTGCCGCCTGCGTTTCTTTGATCTCCATCATCTTCGTCTGTTTCATCTTCTTCATCTGCTTTGTTCTCCGACTTCCATCAAGAATGTCAAACACCATCGCCCTCCTCCCCGTCGTGACCGACCACAGACCGTCCATGCAAGTCATCCCCTCCGATATGATCTCAAACAGCCAATCTTGCTGTCCGCCCAAAGCGTCGTCTGTGTCGCATGTGGGACAAACGATGCAAATGCTTGACAGACATGGCTGATTGCTTTATGAATACCTGTCTCGCCCGTTCCTTTCCCATTTCTCTACCTGACAGAGATAAAAGTTCAGACCATCTCCTTCTATTCCCACATTCGCGCCGGCTGTGAGTGTGTTAGTTGTATTAATACTAGCAGTTGCAATCTTTTCGGCGGGTCTCAAACTTCAACTTTTGGGCGTCAATATTTTGATCAATTTAAATCCATTTGCCCTCTCCGCAAACCGTTATTTGAATCCATCATAGTCGTTGACGACCTCCTCCAACCGTATCCGCATCTCTCAGATTCAGGGTCCTCACTCTCGTTACCAGAGCCTGTCCACATCGCCAGCAAGAACAGCAACCCGCGTTCATCCAAAATGTTTCTCAGTCCAGTCCTCATCCTCCGCATCGTTCAAGGAGTGTTGGCTTTCATCGCCATGGCGCTTGGAGCAACAGGTGTGTTCTGCACTTGTTGCTTGAGAGCGATGTGAACTGACACGATGATTCAGTGGCCAACGTCCTGAACACCCACCGTCCTGCCCTCGATGTCCCTGCTGGGGTTGTCTTCTTCATTTTCATCGCCGTCTTCACCTTGCTTGTCACGGTTCCCTATACAATCTTGACACCCCGCTACTTCCCAGTCCTGGCTCATCCATTTGCCATGCTCGCCGCTGAAACCACCACGTCCATCTTCTGGCTGGCAGGGTTTGCCGTTATGGCAGATCGCTTACGCAGAGCAGACATCTGCGAAATCGGGGCGTGTGCGTCCGCCACAGGTAGTGTCGTGGTTGGGGTATTCGAGTTGTACGTCGGAGTGATTTCATCCCTCCTGGCTCTTGTTGACCGACTCAATAGTGTCCTCTTTGGAATTACTGCCTTCTTCGCCTTCTCTCATATCTTTCTGGGCGACAGATTCAGTGCGAACAAGCCCCAAAACAAGCAGGGGCAGGTGAACCGGGCTGGAGTCGAGCTTGTGTAAGGCTAGAAATCAGGAATCGGTGCAGCTAGCAGAAGACAAGAACGAAGAATAATACTGCGACTCTGACCGCATTTTTGCTGCTGACGCCCACCTCAAGCCTCAATTCGCCTCGTTGTTGCTTCGCTTTCGTCACCATATTAACAAGGACGGTGACCTGGGCGTGATTCCCTTTATTTTCAGCTCTTCAACATCAACGTCGAAGTCCAAATCGAAACCGAAGTCGAAGTCGGGGGCGTGCACACCCTCCGCCCTCATCCGCCCTTCCCATTGCGTTGTTGTCATGAAAGCGTCCTTGTCGTCCATCGAGATGACACCAAGTTGTCAATTTGAGGTAAAAGCAATCCATCCATCTTTCGGACGCCTTTCACACCGCTCAACAGACTCTAGTAGACAACAGATGCCAAACGCTCAACGAACATGTCTTTTCTTTGGGACGCATGAAGGCTCCGTTTCCATTCCCGAGCTTTAGTATAGAGCGTCCACTGTGTCGTCATCGCCATCACCATCGTCATGGCCCCTCTCGCCGGCTGGATCCTCCTGTAATATAGTGTGGTACATATGTCTATCATGTCATGTCGTGTCGCATGTCATCTACGTACGTAGGCAGTGACAATCAGTGTGCAAGTGTGCCGACCACGACGGCGAGCAGAGGTACTGTGCAAGCAGGACGCGAGACGTAAGATACAAGACAGAGGACACCTGAGAGGCGGATCCTCGTACACCATGCATACCTCGTACGAGGTACATATATCTCTCACAAAGACAAGCAAAGAAGAGTAAAGGAGAGCAACAGACAAAGGGACGGATGTAATTAAAAGGGAAATAAATGCGTGAAAAGCACGAATGCAACCCCTGACCTCTCGAGGCTCAAAGTCACTGATTGACTGACAGATAAAATGGATGATCCAGAGACACTCGGTTTGTCATTTAGTGTAAGCCTTTTTTTTTCAGTTAGAATCTGAAATCCGAATCTGAATCCGAATCTGAATCCGAATCTGCATACAAATCAACATCCTTTCCCTCCTCAATCTCTCAACTCAATGTCTGTGCGTGCACGCTTGCAAGAGAGAGCAACTATATCTCGTCGCAGTAATTAGGCAAGAAAATTCTTCGCTTCAAGAAGAGGTCGGTCTTAGTGCACAGCTAAAAAGGAGATTTTCACACAAAAGCCAATATAAAGGAGAGAAAGAGGGAGAGAGAATAGAAAGAGAACCAACCCCAAAGTGTGGGGGCTTCCACCGCAAGATCGAGACTGTACAGTTTTTCTCGCCTTTTTCTGCTTCTCATTTCCTCCCTGGCTAGGCCAACGAACTGGCTCTCGGCTCCGAACATATCCATCTGTGGGTGATACAGGTCGTGACCGAGGACTCAAGAGCGGAAGGTCAGGAAATCGGCAGCCTGCATCGTACAGTCAATGGTCAGCATCGGAGTCGAAATAATGGCTCAACGCAAGGACATGAGAAAAAATCTGTGAACTATATGGCTAGATAGCAGGGGGGATCAACAGTTGCACGAGACTCACCTTATCAATGTTATAATCAAACTTCTCCAGTGCCGCAAGACTCTCCTCGCGTGACCATCCCATGGCAGTCAATCTCTTGAGGATTGGGTCATCGTGCTCCGTACCCGTACTCAGAGCTCGACCGATTTGGGGCCGCTCAACTTTTGAGGGTGGTGGGGGCGACGTCTGTGCTGGCGTGACAATAGTCGGGGGTGGCGAAGAGACACCCGACTGGCCTTGTGGTTGTGAGGGCGTGGAAACTTCGACGGCCTGTGTTTGACTTGGTGGAAAATCAGATGCTGGCTGTGACGACGCAGCGTTATTTGCGTTTGTGTTCAGTGGTGCGAAGAGAGCATCCCAGTCGTGAGAGACCGGAGACGTTGCCGGCTGTGCTTGCTGAGGAGGTCCAGATGTCGTGACCGCAGAATAGAAATCGTCATTCCCAAGCTTTGGAGCCCCGTTTGTGACTGGGGCTGAAGGGAATTGCGCCCGCGGGGGTTGCGGAGGAGAATCGAAAGTCGGGTCAAACTCAAGTGCAGCGTTCTTCGGCGGACTGAAGACAGTATCATCATCGTCCTCGTCGTCATCGTCTTCTTCAACTGGGGCAGCCCCCACACCTGAAAATGCAGAGTCGAAGTCAAACGGTGCACTCGCGGTCGGAGGTGGCGCAGTGGGTTTACTGTCTGAGGGGCTTCTGGCTTGAGCTTCAGGACCATATGCTGGCGGAACGCCACTAGGGGGAGGTGCAGGGTGACTAGAACCACCGGCTGTCGGGACTGGTGAAGTTGGGTCTTCACGCTCTGGTAGCAAGCCTTTATATTCTCGGGGAAATTGGCTTGGGTTGTCTTCAGGCACTACTGCATCGTTATAAGTGGGCGGAGATTGTTGCGATTCCACCCCTGGTAGTGAGCTAGCATTTGATAAAGAGCCGGCAATGGCAGGGCGTGGTGACAGGGTACTGCTGAGCTCAGGTGCGACCTCCGGTTGCTTGCCAGTTCCCACATCGGTAGGACTCTCTCGAGGTGGAGATTTTGCATTGAAATCGTCGTCGAATTTCATGGGTGTCTCGTCTTCGCTGTATTCGCTGCTATCCTCATCGTCGCCGACTTCCTGGATAGCAGGAAATTCTTCATTCAGTGCGACCTTTGGCTTGCCCATCTCAGCAAAAGCAGAGTCAAAGTCCGCAGCCTTCTGAGATGCCGAACGCTGCGGTAGAGCGCTTCCAAAGAAGTCATCAAAATTCTGCTCAAGGCTCTTGCTGGCCGCTGAGGGTTGTGCATCGTTGGGTTTATCACCATTGGTTGTGGCGGAGACGGCGGCGGCACCTAAATCAGCAGCCACCGCTGCAGCGCCAGCTCCAGCAGCAATCACGGTTGGGTCAGCACCTGGAGTGTCAGACCGTGAACCTGGAAATGCTCCTGGAATGTCTTTCGCTTGGTCGGCTGAAGCCTTACCGAAAGCTTCGTCAACAGTTGTTTCTCCAGCGGTGGGCTGAGGCAGTGTTCTACGGACAGATTCCTGTTCTTCATCCGGTGCGGCGGCTGTAAAGGGGTCTTCGCTTGGGTCCTTGTGCTCAGCCGGGCTAGCGGTAGACGCAGGAGTCAGTGCTTGAGGGGTGTCACTGGGACTAAGCCTGCTGGCCGGTGCCGCAACCTTGACGGAGGAGCTGATCGAATCTTCTCTCTCGAGCGGCCTGCGGAAAGGAAGCGCGGCCGAGCTGATCTGTCGGGACTGGGGTGGAGCCGGCGGTTCAGCAGCGTCTCGAGGTGTGGATGAAGGGGCCGGTGAGTCAAGCTGTGGGAGAGTTTGTTGCCCAGCGGGAGTAGATGGTTGTGCAGAGAAAGACGTTGTGGGAGCAGGACCCGCAGCAGCAAACGACGGCCCGAATATGCTGTCGAAAGCACTTTGTTGGTCCTTTGGTTCACTCGCACCGACCGCAGGTGGGAAGGTCGTGTCCGTTGTCCGCCTGAAGAACGGATTGGAGCTCGTAGATGGCGCAGGGCTCACAACGGGAGGGCTCTTGACCGTAGGCATTGGAATATTCCGTGCTTCTTCCAACTCCTTCTTGGAGGCTTCCACTTGTCGAGCCGACTCCTCGGCCTCTCGTTGCGCGTCCTCAACTTCCTTCTGAGCAGCAGCTATCTCGGCCTTTATTCTATCTCGCTCGGCCTCGTTAGTAGCTAACTGCTTCTTGTTGATTGCAACCAAACCTTTCTGTTGCCTCGCATCCGACTTGATCTTTTCGAGCTGCGGTTTGAGCTGGTCAATCTCCTGGTTCAACTGCCGAATGCGTTCCTTGAGCGAAGCATTTTCACGCTGGTCAGATTCCAGTGCAGCACGAAGTTGCTGGTGCTGCGTTGCAAGATCTTGATGGGTCCCGTCAATCATGGCCATTTCCTGCTGCAGCCGCTTGGTATCATTCTTGGAAGCTGTTAGTTGTTCTTTGAGCACCTTGACTTCTTGAACCTCCTTTTCGTAAAGAGACCTGAGCTGAGCCAATCTGCCCTCAAACGCCTTCTTTTGAGCAGATGCGCTGGACAGCTCTTGTTCAGTTTGCCTTCTATCCGTGTGAAGCTCTGTCATTTGCTTAGACAAGCTGCTGACTTGATTGGACAAATTACCTAGTTCGCTGGTTTCGTTTGTGAGTTTCGAGCTGATCTCTGGATCTGCGTCCCCGAGCAGGTCATCGGGTTGCGCTCTCGGCTGGGGTGCTGGTGATCCCGTTGCCTGTGGGATGATACTTTGGCCAAACGAGCTGGTTGGCACAAATGGTTTGAAGGTTGTGGCCGTCGTCTGTGGTGTCAAAACACCCGGGGGGTTCGCGAACGGGCCAGCGTCAGTGCCACCCGTTGATTGAGGTACTTGGATAGGGGCGACCGCAGGTACCGTGGGAGCAGGACCGAATGCGTCGAGGCCAAACAGGTCATCGGCGGCAGAACGTGGTTTTGTCGGCGCCGCATTTTCGAATGCTGGAGCGGTTGGCTGAGGGGGAGCAATCTGCATCTTTCGCATGCTGGGAGGGATGAGAGCAGGGGGAAGAACGGATGGCAAGATGCCTCGTCCATCCTTCGTTCCTCGTTGTTGTCGGATCAAGTACATGGCCACTGCAAACTCGTCCCTGTTTAATTGGCCCTCAGAGTTGATGTCCGCCAAATCCCAAATCTGGGCCAGGATCTCCTCTGGTAGCCTAGCATTTCCGAAGAACTCGACTGCTTGCTCTCCAGTGATAAACCCTCTTCCTTGGCGATCGACTGTCGCAAAAATACTGTCGAATCGAGCTTTGTCGGCCGGAGTTATGACCCATGGCTCTCCTGTCGACTGCGCCGACAACGATAACGGCGTACTCACTTGCGGCTGCCTCGTGATGGGGCTTTGTGGCCGGGCGCTGTAGTTCACCGCGGGAACAGTACTTGAGCCCGGACGAGATCCACTACTTAGTCGTACAGCCGGGCGACGAGTTGCGGCCTCAAAAAGGCCCGGAGGAAGTGTGCTTGGGACACCACGCATCTGGCCTGACTTGTACGAGGCCAAAAGGTGCATAGCGATCACAAATTCCGTGACATCCAAGGCGCCGCGACCCTGCGTGTCGGAAAGCCCCCATATGCGCCCAAGAACTTCGTTGGGCAACCTCGCTTTTTCAAATATTTGCTTAGCCAACAACCCGGAGAGCAGCCCGTTCTCTGCGCCTGATTTCTCAAACATGGTCGAATATTCTGCGACCTTTTCTGGTGTCAAAGCAGGCACACGGATCGGGGGATGAGCCGCAGGAGTCGGGCTGGCAGGAGGTCCAGTAGATTGCTGGACAATAGGTTGAACGGGTTGAGGGGGAGGGGGTTGAGCCAGTTGTTCGGACAGGGGAGTGTCAAATCGAGGAAGAGGCGCAGCTGCGACAATTAGTTCAGTCATCTCCCGACGTTCTCAACTGAACGTACTCTGAGTTGCAAGCTGGGCTGAAGGTGGACGGCCACTTTGCGCATGGCCAATAAGTCGGAGCACAACTCCAAATCCTGCTGGCGTGAGGAAACCTCGATTTTCGGTATCGGCAATCTGCCATATCTATTGAATCGTCAACAGGGGCGCAGAGAATCCTCTCGATATTCCGAACCTGTCCTAAGACATCCGGTGGCAGTTTTGTCCTCTCAAAGAATTTGACGGCCACATCTCCAGAGACAGCTCCGAACCCATCGGGGTCAGCTTCTTTCAGGAGCTGGCCGTAGACTCGCTTTTCCTCAGTCGTCAGGTTGAGATTCGGATGCCCTAGAATTGAGAGTGTCAGCGCCCTAGCTGAACAGACAGCCACTTGAGCAGGAGGAGCAAACCTGAGGCAGCGGATCCAATCGTCTCCGACATGGCCGGGCGTGGTAGGCTCGTAATGCGATTGGGGAACGTCTAGATGTAGCGCATTGACGGCATGGAGAGGTCGAGGTAATGTTCAGGGAGGGACAAAGATGAGGCGCAGGTGATTCTGAATTAAGGCAGGATAACTTTTGATCTCGCGGGAACACAAGGACAGGCGACAACGGTTTCTAAGGAAATGGCTGGAAGTCTTACGGGGATGGAGAGAGAAATGGAGATGGACTGGATGGGGTGGATCGCGATGACGAACGAGGAGCCTGGTTGTTGCCAAGCCCTGGAGCTCTCGAGCTTGAGGCGCCGGTACGACTAGTGTAAGTTTGGACTGGGGTTTCTACATAGGTGGTGGTTCCAAGCTCAAACAAGAGGGCGGATGTTAACCTAGGTAAATACGAATTGAATCTACCTGAGATCGAGCATCAGTACAACCCCTGAAATACCAGGTGCCAACATGAAAGGAATAATTGTCAGCCTGGACGAGTGACTGGTGATGCTTGGTGTGAATGGCTGCATCGATTATGCACCACGGATGCCAACCTACAGTATGCCATCTTGTCTCACAGAGACCATCTTCAAGAACACAATTGACTCCCAATTCTTTGTCGACGGACACTCAGGATCAACTCTGAAATATCGCTTGCTCCCTGCACTCCTTGCAATAGACTCTCACGGGGTCGGAGAGGATACAAAACGCGGGAAGATACAAAAACTAGTGCTCCATCTCTCCCTCATCGCCCTCCTCAATGGAGTCGCTGGCCACTTCCTCGTAATCTCTCTCCAATGCTGCCAGATCTTCGCGGGCTTCAGAGAACTCGCCTTCTTCCATACCCTCACCAACGTACCAGTGGACGAAGGCGCGCTTCGAGTACATCAAATCGAACTTGTGAGACAGGGCAGACCACGCTTCGGCGATGGCAGTGGTGTTGGAGAGCATGCACCTATTAAGATATTAGAAAATACGTATAGAAGGTGCATTGACATGGAACTTACACTGCGCGATTAACCTTGGCAAGATCACCGTTGGGAACCATCTGAGGAGGCTGGTAGCAGATACCAATCTTGAAGCCAGTCGGGCACCAGTCCACGAATTGAATTGTACGCTTGGTCTTCAGAGTAGCGACAGCCTGGTGCACGTCCTTGGGAACAACATCTCCGCGGTAGAGTAAGCAAGTGGCCATGTATTTGCCGTTGCGTGGGTCGCATTTGACCATCTGGTTGTTCGGTTCAAAGCAAGACATCGAGATCTCTTGCACCGAGTGAGCCTCATGCTGCGCCTTTGCCGCCGAAACAACGGGTGCATAGGCAACGAGAGGGAAATGGATGCGTGGGTATGGCACAAGGTTGGTCTGGAACTCGGCGAGATCAACGTTCAGGGACCCGTCAAATCGGAGGGAAGCAGTGATGGAGGACACAACTATTTCTTTATCAGCTGGATCTTACCAAATGGAGGAGTGATACCCACCTTGGGCGATCAGTCTGTTCAGATTTTCGTAGTTGGGTCGCTCGATTCCTAGATTGCGTCTGCAAATGTCGTAGATGGCTTCATTGTCTACCATGAAACTGCAATCAGAATGCTCGAGAGTTGTGTGCGTCGTGAGGATCGAATTGTATGGCTCGACCACGGAGGTGGCGACTTGAGGAGCTGGATAGACGCAGAACTCCAACTTGCACTTTTTGCCATAGTCAACCGAGAGACGTTCCATAAGCAAGGCACCGAACCCGGAGCCGGTACCACCGCCGAACGAATGGAACACGAGAAAACCCTGAAGGCCACTGCAGTTATCGGCCACACGGCGAACTTTGTCCAGCACTTGATCGATCAACTCCTTGCCGACAGTGTAGTGTCCTCGGGCATAGTTGTTTGAAGCATCCTCTTTCCCAGTGATCATCTGCTCAGGGTGGAAAAGACTGCGATAGGCGCCGGTCCGAACCTCGTCGACGACGTTGGGTTCAAGGTCACAGTAGATGGTTCGGGGGACATATTTGCCGTTGCCTGTGCAAAACTCAATCAGCAACGAAGAGATAGGGATGATTTCCGATGCCGTACCCGTCTCGGAGAAAAAGGTGCTGAAGCCTTGGTCTGGATCAGCGGCTTTGCGTTCTTCGGTAAGGTATCCATCGGGCTGGTTCAGGTCAATTTGTGGTTGGAGCCAACGACAACGGTGCACCACCCACTTGGATTCCATGCTCGAGGCAGTACAGCTGCAACCATCAGTAATTGTCCGAGCCGATGTCTTTTGATAAGGAAGATTGTTTACCTCCCAGCATGAGTTGGCAATTTGACAGCCAGCCTGGCCAACTACAATTTGCAAATGCAGGTCAGCTTGTGGTCACAAATTCTCTGGTACAGGGGCTTTCCAAAAGGGTCGGTCAGGGACGCGTGCTTGGATCGTCACGTACCGTTCAAGCTGATGACTTCTCTCATGGTGAAAGGGTTCCGGAGAGGGATGAGGAGGAGATGAAGGAGAAGATGTGAGATGGATAGATGCAAGACAAGTCAACGGACAAGCAAAGGATTGGAAGAATCAATTGTTGATGGGGGAGAGAGGGTGCAGTGGGTGCAGTGGTGGTTTGCAATTGTGGGGTGGCTTCCAATTGTTGACAGCGCGCTCTTTCTTTCACCGCCTGTCCCCTGCCCCGTGCAGCCAATCACAACGGCTGTCTCTAGGGACTCCACCTGTTCGCGTTACAGCCAATCAAGTGGCCGCTGCGGAAGCGTTAATCAACTGCGCCATTCACGACAAACCACCGACATCATCCTTCATCTCCTATTTTCTCAACACAATGGCTTATACATTTCTCATCGTCTGGCTTCTATGGCCTTATTGTGCCTTCGCCAATGTGGAGAAGGTCATTTTCCTTGCTCCTGCGGCTGACAATCTACCCCAAGATGCGAGTATTGACAATCTGTTTCTGACACGCCTGTCGGAACAATATCCAAGTGTTAGAACTCACATCAATGCGAGCTTCCCAAGTACAGACTTCCCAAAGGGAATTGAGAGCTGGTTCTTACTCGAAGGTCTGCGCCCCGGGAGACGGTATGAGATTCGAATATGTTGGTTGGCAACTGTAGGAGGATGTCCTTCCTGGTAGTGAACGTGGCTGACTCTCCCCAGCAACCTACATCCTTCTGGCTCTATACGCATTCTCTGGATCATGCCTTTGCAACGCCCAACCTCCTGGCCTCACTGAGTGACTACGCTTATGCACGGCATGCACAGCTTGGCTCCGAAGATAGTCGGAGCCTCCTGCAACGGAAAGCCGAGGCCAGCACAAGCGATGTCGGGTCAACTTTCTTGTTCCTCCAGGTACTCGCTGCTGCAGACTATTTCAGCCTGAACCAGACACTCATGGAGGTCGTGCCTCCCGTGGCCGTCGACATAATCTTAGACCCATACGTCCTCAACGTCTTGCCCCAGTCACTTGCTCCCACGGGACTATATCTCCTCGTGATCGCAGTGGGCGCATGGTTCCTTTCAACCTGGATTCCAAAGCTCTTGGCCAGCTCTGTAACACAGCAGGTTCAATTAAAAGCAAAACGAACTTGACTGATGCTGGTCATGGCCTGACCATCGAGAAAGGATCCTGCAGCTGATCGAAGTCCGTCATTAACGAGAAGAGTGGGAACTCTTCAGTGTATGATGGTAGACTTGGTATTCCGGACCCATCTGGTGAGAGGTAATCTGCTTCTGGCATCTGTCCGAAATCGGTGCGTGGCAGAGGTGGGATGGGATCAGTAGCCTCCTCCCCGTTATACGCCAATACTCCAGAGGTGGTCAACACAGGGCCGCGACTCTCTGGCGGCATGTCGAACCGCAGCTGCCACGGTGGCGCGGCGTCACCGGATTCCTCTGCGGCATCAAACAGCGCCGTTGTGCCATCGTTGGTCTGAGCGATTTCTGAGGCCGAAATCTGACTGGGTGTGTGGTTGCCGGTAGTCGCTTTACTTGAACCTGCACCGTTTGTCTTGTTGATAGGATCACCAAAAATGTTGTGGATGTCTTGTCGGCGCCTCTGCATTTGCATTTGGTCTCGCCGTCGAATGTGCTCAATCGCTGCCAGGCGCAGATAGCTGGTGATCTCAAAGTGTCGTCGGGCCGACATGTCATCCTTTGCCATGATTGTCAAGATAGCTTCCGCTTGGGCAATGCTGCTGAGCAACGGGAACGTCTTATCAAAGTCGCCAAAGATGGCAAAGCCGATCACCATAGCCGATATAAATGTGCTGTTGGTAATCATGAACAGTCGCTTGGGTACTCCCGGGGTATGAACAATATCGGTCGCAATCTCGATGCTCCTCAACGCAGCATCAATACAGGCCTCACTTAGAGTCATTGTCACCGAGTTTCCGGCGCCGTCGTCATCCTCGGAACGGCCTTTGATCTTCGAGGACACCTTGAAGATTAGAAATGGTCTGGTCAAGAGAATGATCGACCAATAATAAGCGCCCTTCAAATGGGCGATGCCGATTGTCTGTCGCAGTGTTGGGGAAGTAGAGCCACTCTTCTGGTCCAGACTGTCGGCTTGCAGACCTGCCGGTAACTGCATGGTCCAGTCTCGATATTGTCGGGAGATGCTTTCCACAAGCTGAACAGATACTTCCCGACGACAATAGACCTCGTTCAATATCCGCTCAAAGATAAAACATATCCTTAATGTTGCCGAGGTGTTGCGTCCGTTCATCTGGATATCTTCATAGTCTCTGGTGGAGCGGTTCCAAGACACACTTCCACCGTCTACTTCGGATGTCGCTGGCGGTCGGCCGAGTGAGCCGCTCATGTAGAGGTCGAGGACGCGCAGACTCTTCCACACTCGCTCGCGCGCGAGCCTTTCTCTCGGCTCGAACAAGTTTGATATGTCGCTTCTGTGCAACCCTAGAGCATACGCGGCTCGGACGGCAATACCTAGCAGCATGAATGCGCCGTTTCTTCTCACGGCGGACAACATGTAGAACGTGATCAAGGCGTAGGCCTGGATGGTCAGGACACTGGGATCCTCCAAGAAACTCGAGACTCCGATCTCTCGACCACGGGAGAAGTAGAATTCTGCCTGATCCAGGTCCTCGGCGTCGCGCGTCAAGGCGCCGATAGCCATGACTAGATAATATATGGAACTGTTGAAATCCGTCTCGGCGGATGGGTCGCTCGTCCATGCACACAGATGGTGGGTGATATCGTCAGGGTCGAAGAGGTCAATCACGCCGCTCGACGCCAGCAGATAATGTTTGATCAGATCCTGGGCCTCAGCCAAGCTAGGCTTCGGGTGTTGCGACTGCGCCGGCGTCGGCGCCTTGGGAGGTGGAATGACCTCGCACATGGCATGTCGCAGCGGGTCCGAGGTCAGTTGACACTCTCCTATCTCTGCCTTGACCAAGCGGCGAATGTTCTGGACAAACGCCAGGTTGCTCGAGTCGCCGACGAAGATGAACTTGCCGCGACCATCGCGGAGCAGTCTGGCCAGCTTGGGCACAGGGGCTCTCGACACGAGTGCATCCGGATCCTTGTCGTACTGGGGAGACTTTGGAGCGCTTCTCGACCCGGACAGCGTGAGGAGCGACTCGATGGCGATCTCGGCATCATTGGACTCGTTCAAGGCATCCTTGAGGGTGATGGGATGAGATGACGCGGTACTGCCCTGACGCTGCGAGCCTCGTTTGGAGTAGGCCTCGGTGAAGATGCATTCAGACTCGCGGCAACGGCGCTTGCAGAGCAGGCAAGGTTGTTGTCCGTCACATTTCTCCTTTCTGCGCTTGCAGGTGTCGCAGGCCCGCGCCACGCGTTTCCGGTCTTCGTCCTTGACGCGCGGACGAGGCATGAGGCATGCGACCACTCAGAGTTCGTCTGATCACCAGCCTCGTAGCCTTGTGACGGGCGGTGTATCGATGACTCACTCACGGGGTTCACTTTCCGGGTTTTTTGGATGGGTGCCAGGTCAGAAAAACTCGGATATAGCACCTTTTCGTGAGGAGGTGGAGTTTGTTTTGGGAAATCTGAGGTTGCGGTCATCTGCTGGGAACCGTCGGAAGCGGGCAGGGAAGAAAAGTTGGAGAGAGAGAGGGGGGGGGGCGATGAATAATGGAGCTGAGACAGCCCGTGACTCCCCTAATTTTGGTGGTTCTCCGTGCCCAGATTTCTCGGTGGGGGCGCGGGGAAGCGGCCCAATCACGCATGGTGTATAGTTAAAGGCGGGATGTTCAACCGAGTATATAATACTCGGGAACTCGTATTCGAGCAGGGGTGGTTTGTTCGGCTCATTGGCGCCAATGGCTGATTTCAGTGGCTGGAGCGCTGCTACGTATCAAAACACACAAGTCTTGCATCCACCAAGTACTCATAAGCTTGGGACTAAGGGTTCTTCTCGTCCAGGTCATATACCCCATACACGGCTTGTACATCCTACATCGACATAATCAGCAGCTCCGTTGTGATCCTTAAAAGCCGCGACCCATGCCTTCGGTCACTAGCGCTTCGCCGGATTCTCCCTTGGAGGACAGCGGAGCCATCTTAATGTCATATCTCAATTCCTTTTGAGCCTGCTCGTCACCTTGTCGGGGTATGAACTCGACAATCAAGGAGTCTTTGACCGCAAAGACAGAATCATCGTCGAGATACTTGCTCTCCTTGTCGAAAATCTGGGTCGTGATGGGCTTGTAGCCCTCGGCCAACACCTGCGCGACTGTCACTTTCTGATCTCTGGAGGCACGGGGCTTCAATACTCACGATGAAATGGATGTGGGCTGGTCTGTAGGGGTGTCTGTCAAGCAATTGGAGCAGTTTACCCGCTGGTCCATCGTACGGGATCGGGTAAGGGGTTGGTCTCAAGCAATAGAAGCCGTACTCTCCGTTCTCATCCGTGTAGAACTTGCCGCATAAGTTCGACTTTGGTTGGTTCTCATCCTGTTGTTCGTACAACCCTGCAAGGCTCTACGTTAGCACTCCCTTGCTCACCACATGGGATTGTATAGACCGACCGTTTGTGGATGCTTGCCAAACATCGACTGAAGCATTTCTCAAGGGCTTGTTGGTAGTGGCATCCACAACTTGGCCGTACAAATACACGACTTCGGCATCCTGCGGAGTATTGGTGGAGATGCTGTCGCCCTTCTTGCGGATCGTGTGGTCAGTCTGGAAGAAGGGACCAAGTATAGCACTCTGAGTGGCCAGATCGGCGGCTTCGGCTGCCTTCTTGTATGTGATTTCATCCACGAGTCTGTACAGTCAGCATAGGCCCTTGCATACCCTTTTCAGTTTTCACCTACGTTTCCAAGCCGACAACATCGCACACCAGTTGACCTTCATTCCGTCTGTCATTGCTCATCTGGCCGGCCCAGTTGATCAAACGAACACCCTCATCCCACTCTTCCACTGTCAACTCAATCTCGCGAGCAAAGTCGTGAAGGTGTGTGATCAAGCTGGTCATGACTTCCCGCATCCGAGGGGAAGTCTTGGGACCCATGGCATTGATAACATTCCGGGTGAAGGTGGGATCGAAGCGCGCAGCGCCGGATTTGTTGTTGCCGTTCATGTTGGACAAGTTTTGATTCGATGGTTGGATTCAGGTGGCTCGGAGGACTTGCACTAGATTGCGACAGTAGAGGCAATGCGTCACTGACGGTGAATGTGGCGAGCTTGAAGTTTGTGCGAGAGGAAAGTAGACAGGATGCTCTGTGCAAAAGAGAGGAACTGTCTGATTCAAATAGGATTGGCAATTGCAATGACTTGTTTCGTGGAGAGCCACCATCGGCTTCAGGACGGGGAGAACCATAACCCTAGTCCAGACCCCAGACAACCTCGCAGGCTGAGGCCAAAGGATCCATACGGAACTGTGTACGAAGGTTCGCGCGAAGGTGTCGAGCTCATCCCGCAATACCCCGCCCCGAACACTTCCTTGCATCGGATCTCGCGCCGCCTGGACTTTTGCTTCTAACCACTAAACCCATTTAGCTAGAGCCGAGTCTGGTTAGACTCGCCGCGCTAGTTGTGCAAATGCGGCTAGTTCACCTCGCCGTTTGAACTTCGGAAGCAGACTGTGCCGTCAGGTGCTCGACGCTGCCCCGTCGGCTGCCAGTTTCGGGACGCGCACTCACGTCTACCTCTACCCATCCACACCTCGTTCTGATATTGTCGACGCGCACAAATGCTCAAAGCTCTGGTCTTTCTGTGGTGTGACTGTCTAGTACGGGCCTCTGACATACCCGATCGCACCACGAACCATTATTAACCAGGACGGAATGCTCCGCTGTTCCTCCATGATGTGGGCTGATCTATCTTCCCTCCAGCAATTGCTTCCGATCATGGCGAAGCAGATCAGATTATATTCACCTTCATCATCATGCTTGACCTGTCTCTCGTAATCCGTCACGATGCTGCATATACGGTACAAACAAATGATTGGCCACCACTCGTCTTTGAACTGTACGCTCTCAGAGAAAAGATTGGATGAGGAAGTCGACAGAAGCGACGAGGTGCAAACTCATAACCACACAAGTCAGGTTGTCGGTCTCAACGATGCCGTCCTCACCGAGTCGGTGACATCTACTGCAAGGAAAATCAAATCAGGTGTACAATCTTGGTCATTGGGGCGGAATCGTGCTTTGCAAGACAATCATCGATGCTCTGCAACCACCCAGCCTTAGATCAGGCTGCGGGACCAAGACAAATTGAAACACACCCATCAAGCAACCCCAGCGAAGGAAGGGAAGCCCTTTCACGACTTCTGCAAGCCCATCTCTCGGCCCGCCAGCTGCCAGTCGAGATCGACACCGGCCATGCGGCTTGCCGTTGACTTCGTGGCACCAATCTGAAGTCAGCAAAGGTTTGATGCTGTGTTACCGACCGATTGCTCTTGGTTCTCTGGCTATCTCGTCCTCTCATTACGAAGTTGTCGCACATTCTTCGCTTGCTGTTGCGTTCCGTGATGCCCATTCATCCTATCAAGATGGGGGACAGATGTCCCCCGTCTACTCTTCCTCTACCTGCACAGGTTTCCTTCCTTCAAAATGCTTCTAATCAGCAGGAAGTACCCAGCAGTACATCGAGTTGGACCAGGTACCGACCGATCATTCCCCTATTTCGCGCAAACTTCGCCCAGAGCCTTGTCCAAGTGATGTCTTCATTAACTGCGCAGTATCCCAAACGTACCTCGAACCATACTTCACAGACTTCGCAAGAACGGCCTTCGCTTTCTGAGTCCTCCGTGCCCGCATCTCCTCAAGCTCGATTCCCACGCTCACCTCCTCCGCGGCCGCCGAGGCCAAAGACTTCACTAACAAACATCCGCCCAACAATTATCCTCTCACCCCTCGCGATTCCTCCTCCCAGCGCGTACCGCCTGCCGGCCCCCAGCCATTGTTCTCGACTCGACCGGTTTTCAGACGACGTCTTTAAGTCGCTTCCAGAGCATTTGAGGTCCTCATTGATATCTCCCAGCGGAGGGGCGACACAGGCATCTCCTTGTGACGCGGCGTTATGTCCCTGTCCAGACCTCTGTTCCTCTGCTGCACAGTCTTGCGTGGCCACGAAAGATTGCTCCGATGTCTGCGCTATCCCCGATCAGCCTCCTGTCCGTCTAAAATGTCAGGACCAGAACCTTCCAGCAACCAATTCCTCTGCTTTGGACGTCGGGAAATGCTGCGCTTTTACGCCAAATAGAGTAAGGGAGATGGACAGCTTCGAGCGCGCGATCCACCAGTGCCAGTATCTAGAGTCTCGAGGTCCTGGTGGACCGGTCAAGAGTTGTCTGCCCGTAGCCACCACATCAAGTCCGCGCGATTGTCCATCCTCAATCTCTTCCCCCTCGAAACCTGACTCCAGCACGGTGGACTCGACGCGGCCACGCCTGGACATGTCGCATGCTTCTCAGCCGGGGTCCCACCACGACTGGGAGGACCAGCCCTCCTCAAAGTCCTGGCACACCATCGTCTTTCGCCACAGAATCCTCTTACGCATGGTGTGCACCGCAACGTTCGTGATCGTCGCGTCAACGGCAATAGCGGGTGGCGTGATTTGGAAGTTGACAAACTGTGAGTCCAAATCCCCTTTTTTCGTCGTTGTCATATTATTACTGGCGTTCGCAGACAGATGGCGAAGATGTAGACTCCTTGCAATACATGCTATTTCCCCCTTGGCCTCAATTCTCCGCCTCTGTGATCCGGGCTGACTGCGGCTTGTCTAATTCTAGTGGACCGAGTGGATCAAGGGTAGTGAACGGCAGTGAGGCTCTGTTTGACGACACATGAGCTATCGTCTCCCGCGAGCCCATTGAAGAAACCATTCTGCCATCAGAGTCCATCCGGCGTGGACGTCTTTTGGATGTGGGCTCATAGGGGAGAAAGAAGAGTGCACAAGCGGCTAGAACATTGGTGGCATGGCAGGCAGATTATTATCGCTTTTCATAGCAGTCAATGCATACTTTCTATTGTCACAAGCACATGAAATCGACTGACTTTTTTGAGGCGGGATCTGCTTGCTATTTACTTCTTCGCCTTGACCCCCTTTCCCTTCGACTTTTTACTGCTCTGTTTGGTCTCGACGCCACCGCCGACGACGACCCCATTCTTTTTGGGAGGATCCTGCTTGTCCTCGCCCTGCTTCTTGCGATCCGCCACCCTGGGATCGAGTCCTCTGGCCTTGAGCCACTTTTTCTCGGCCCGCTCGATGAGCTCTCTGTCTTCGTCGTCGTTGAAGCCGCCGAAATCATCGCCCGACGCGGCGGCGGCGGCGTCCACTACGCCGTTCGATTCCGAGGCATGGTCTCTGTCTCCATCCCTGTCTCCATTGACGGCAACGGAGGACCGTGACTCTCGTCCATCAGCCGCCCCATTGGTCTGTTGTCCCGGGGCGTTCTTGGGCGTCGGCCCCGTCTTCTTCAACTTGCACACGAAAAACCCGTCCACGTTCTCCCGGTGGGGGAAGTACCGTCGCGTCAAGTTCATGCGGTCGTCGAACTTTTTGTTCATGTAGCTCTTAAACCCCTCAGAGCCGAAACTCCCCAATCCGGTGTCGACGATCTTGACGTTGGGTCGCTTGCGCAGGATGTACTGCACGACCCCTTCGTTCTCTTCCACCGTGACCGAGCACGTCGAGTAGACAATGTACCCGCCCGTCTTGCTGGCGTGGTCGGTCGAGTCGATGGCTGCCAGGAGGAGTTGTTTCTGCAGGTGCGGCAAGGCCAGGAAATCGCGTTCGTTTTTGGATGTCTTGACGCTGGGGTCTTTGCCAATGACCCCGGTGCCGGAGCAGGGGGCGTCCAGAAGCACACGGTCGAAACCACCGAGGATTTTGGGGAAGGCTTTTTGCGCATCGTAGTTGCAGACAATGGTGTTCTTGCATCCAAGCCGGTGTATGTTACCAATGAGACCTTTGGCTCGCTGGCGGTTGGCATCGTTGGCAAACACGACGCCGGTATTTCGCATCAAGGCCGAGATATAGGTCGTCTTTCCACCGGGCGCGGCAGCCATGTCCAGGATTCGTTCATTCGGTTGCGGGGCGAGGGCCATGACGGGAAGGAATGAGGACGCAGCTTGGAGGATATAGTGTCCGGCAAGGTACTCTGGTGTTGCACCCAGCGGTACGGGAGCCTCAAAAACTTGGAGGCCGACCTTGGACCACTTTCCGACGGGCTCCAGGACGACGCCTCGATTAATCAATGCTTGAGCAAGGGTGCGACGATTAGTACGGAGGGTGTTTGTACGGAGGACGACGGGGCGGGGGGTTTCGTTGGCCTCGAAAAAGGCGAATGCTTCTGCTGGGGTGAAAAGCGAAAACAGCTTCTCGGCGAGGAAAGGGGTGTAGCCGTAGTATGTACAGATGTCGGCGAGCAGCTGTTCGGTATAGTCGGTTCGCGACTTCGATTTGTCCGCAAGCTGTGAGAAGTTGCCCAAGACTCGTATCGTCTCAGTCATCCTTGTGCGAATGATGGATAGGTCGGGCGCTAGACCTTGTGTGGTGGCCGAGTCGAGCACGCCTTCGTCTTTGGCAATATTTGTTTGGAGGGCCGCGTCTTCCAACTCCTGCTGAGCTTCTGCATCCTCCTGCGCCTGTTGTCGGTCGAGCTTTCGCGAAAGACCTTCGATGTTGGCAGCGGTGAGCTTGGCTTCGGCATCAGACTCATCCTCGTCCTCGGAGAACATGCGGCGTGGTTGTTCTTCTTGATCTGAGTCGAAGACGGAGTCGTCAGAAATTTCCCCATCGAGATCTGCTTGTGCCAGTTCGTCATCGTCATCTTCGTCTTCGTCCTCATCTTCCAGGTCCGACAGCGAGACAGTGTTTAGGGCGACTTCTGTGGCATTGAGATCGCTCTCCTCGCCCTCGTCCTCCTCGTCCCCATCAATTCCCTCGAAGGTACCAGCAGGTATCGGAGGCGGCACAGTAATTTGCGCATCGTTGTTTACCAGTTTGACTTTTTTCCGTGCACCTGTCTTCGCTGACACCGTAGGAGGAGGAGGAGGGTCATTCCGAGAGGCTCGGTCGAGGTTGACGAGTTTCTTTGAGGCATTTGCAGTCAGCTGCGGTTTCTCCTCCGACTTCCTCCTTTTCCGGGCGGGTTTGTTGGGCTCTTCGCTGGCGGATTTACGCTTCAGATTGAGGCCCAATTCCTCCAGAGTCGCTGGGGGACCCTGCTTTCTCATGCGGCGTCCCACGCCCATTGCTTTGGGAGGGAGGAGGTTTTTCTTTATTTGGGGTTGGGGTGCAGCGAGGTATGAAATTTAGAGAGAAATTTTGGTCACGCACAAATTTAGAGTTAGTGCATCGTGTCCGTCGTATCCGTACAAGGATGTCGTGGCTAGCGGCCCTGACTCGTAATGAATTATACCGAACGTTTGTCTAGCGTGGTGGTAGCGAGGGAGATTTCCCCCGATAATTGGTCACTGGGCGCGCTAGCAAAGTTAGAAGGCTATAAGCGATCCCAAGGGGCGGCCATCCCCGCTCCCGAAAAGAACCCGACCCCTCCACAGACGAGATCCACACCAAGCACACCAAGGCGACCCTATCTACCAAGTCTGTCCCAGCTGAACGGTAGGCAAATCAAAATTTACACTTCTCTTCAGGCTGGAACGTCCCTTGTTCGGAAGGCTTTGGCCAGTGGACCTGATGCCGGGCAGGGATGGACTGCTTCTCTTGCGGAATGGGTACGGGCCAAACCTTGACCACAGTGTGACGGCCTAGTAATTCCAATTCCTTGAGAAGAGGTGGTGCCACGGCCCTTGTCGGTTCAGGTCCGTGTTCAATTTCTCTATCCCAAACAACCCTCACCTCCCCCTCCACCAAAAAAAAAAAAAAAAACCAAACCCCCTGGCTACGCGTCGTCCAGAGCGCCTCCAGTATACGTTACCACTATGTCACAGAGGACCGGCCTGTCCCCCTCCAACGTCTCCGAAGCATCGACATCGTCGCAGCCCTCAGTCGCTCAGCCTTCGGGCTCCGGGGACGTCACGTCGCCCGAGGCTAGAAAATATGTCACTCAGGCATGCCAGCCGTGCCGTGCCAAGCGCTCCAAGGTTTGCCCAACCTGTTGATGAAAGGAAAAACAAAGAAGGACATGAACTGTTGACCCCTGCTTTTCAAGTGTGACAACGCCCATCCCACCTGCTCAGCCTGCGTAGCGCGAGGAACGCTATGTGTCTACTCCGATGTCGACCGCCGGAGAGGCAAGTTGAGGGCGAACGAGACGGACGCTCTGCAAGAGCGAGTCCGGAAGGTCGAAAACATTATCAACGTTCTGACGCAGCGATCCGAGGAGGAGGCGTACGACCTGCTGAGGAGGATGAGGACTAACCCACCTCAATCTCTGGGCAGTGAGGGGTTGGCTGAATGGACGCAGGCACGGGAGAGGGAGGGGGAATTCAATGCTCCGGTAAGCGGGAATGTGCCTTCGTTCACAAGGGGTTTCCCTCTGGGGCCTCTGGGACGGGGTGTTTCTCTTTTTATGGTCAGAGGTGCAGGCTGTGAGCAACAAAGGCTGTCCTTGAAGCTGAAATTTTTGTCCAGGTCCGGCGCGCTAATCTATCATCAGGCTGCACGCGTCTACACGGTCCATGACCCTCCACCGGAACACCTGATACAGTACGGCATCAGAGCATTCTTTGGCAGCACCTATACATTATTCTATATCTACGAAAAACAAGAGATGGACGACCTCCTGAACAGGGTATACCGAACCCACGAAGCCGTCGACAATGCGACCCTATGCGAACTCTGCGCCGTGGCCGCAGTCGGGAGCCACTATGATGGCGACAAGTTGGACGGACCGGTCTTGGACGCCTTGTTCCAGACCGCCACGATTTATATGAGTGACTGTATCGAGTCACAGTTTCTGCGAGGCATGAGAGTGCTTCTGTGTCTCGGCATCGTTTCATCTTTGACCAAGCGCACGAGCGCTCGTTTATCGATCGGTAAGGCCTAATCCGGGAATTTCCGGGATCTGGGACGGCTGATATTGGCTGAAGCTTCTGGATTGAGACTGGCACGTTGGGCACGTCTGCAGCAGCAAGATATCTTGCCCTGGGTCGCCTACCGGAAAGTCTACCGATCGCTTGTCTTTATGGAGTGGTGAGTGAGATCTGTGTTGCTCGTAATTTTTTTTTCCCCTGGTCCACACTAACCTCGTATAGCTGGCTTGCTTCGACCCTCGGATACCAGCCTGATCTCAGTCACGACGAGGCCGAGGTGAGTTTGGTTTTGCGAGTTTTGACGGAATCTTCCTTCTGAAATGGAGAGAAAGAGAGAGAAAAATCAATAGCTAAGCCATTGCCAGCTTGCGAGCCAAGAGATTATCGAAGCCCAACCAAGAACCGAGAACCGCATCCAAGCCGAAGTATGTACGATTGGTTTGATGGTGGCAGGGATCATGCAGGATGTCGACAAGCCGACTTCAGCAGTGTTTTCCGTGGTTGAGAAGCATTCAAGGATATTAGGTGAGTGGCAGGAGAAACTACCCGATTCAATGAGACTGGATGCGCTCGTCCCCCCGGGCCACGGGACCGGGCTTCCAGAGCCGCACCGTCATAGCCTTATTCTCGTACATGTGATGTTTCTGGGGGCCAAGATGATGCTCCAGAGACGACTGCTGGTGGAAATGGCCAACTGTCGAATGACGAGGCGATGGACGCTTGATGGAACGCCCAGGCAGGGTGAGAGCATTCAAAGAGAGTGTGTCGAGGCTGCGGAACTGTGTGTCCATCTCTTTGAGGTGCTTGGGTACACGAAGCAAAAGCGTCGCACCTGTTGGCTCTGCGTGTAAGTTCTCCCAGTCCCAGATATCAAAATGAACTGAATATCTGCAGAAACCAGAAAAGATGAGGGCTAATAATACCTTCTTTTCCCTTGATCCTGCCAGTGGTCAGGCGTTTAGCGCATGCAGCGTTCTCCTCTTCGCGGCCGCTCAGCGACTCTTATACGATCAGAGAGATAGTGTTCAGGTCTACCTCTCTGGGTCCCAGGAATGCATTAATATGCTCGCCAGTTGCAGTGTTGTGGACCGTGTGGCAAACTCGTTGCTCCAGATCGTCCGACCACTGCACCAGGATCTTCAGCGACTAGCTAGTACCGAATCCAGCAGTCGACCGAAGAGCGGAATCTACGATCTACTCGAAAATCCACATGCGGATGCTGCCACCAGTCCACCCACCACGGCAGGCATGCGAGGGTGGTCCCCAGGAGCCCAGCAATACCAAGGCATTACCGGCGAACCCAGTGCGTTGCCGCCGCCGATCCGCACAGCCGCTATACCGGCCATGCAGCATGCGATTGAAGTTCTGGGAAATCCGTTTGGCCTGCCCAGGAGGCTGAACACCGATTCGTTCGCCGCCGGGGACCCTATCGCTCCGAGCTGGAGCTGACGAACTGCGTATCGCAGCGACTCCTGGCAGGGTTCATTGGTGGGAGGACTGTACCCAGAGAGGTAGTATGAGCAGTACGGTATGGATGGAATGATGTGCCTCGTTTGTTACCGAAGTATAAGTTTGGTGGCTCGAATCGAGGTACCTCAGGCGTCGCATAGACGCACTATATATTGAGGAGGAATATGGTACTTAAAGCGCTACTCGATTGATGAGGGTGTGATGTGATTGGTCCGTGAATACATACATGGATGTATAGCTAGAAGGATAGATGACTTGATGACAGACAGATAGACAGATAGACAGATATGGTGCTGAGTGGTTGATGGACTGATGGGTCGATGAATGGCTGTGTGGAAGAGCAAAAGGATCGGTGACGACCACGGGAATAGAAGGACAGATGGATGACTGATGGCGGATCGATGAGTCGATGCAGAGTATATCAGGTGGAACAATGGACAAACAGAGGAACGGACGATTCGACAATGGACTGGTTGACAGAACGATGGCGACAATGATGGATGGATCTGGAGGGTGTACAGCAAGATGGATCGATGGATAGCAGTACGTTGGATCCGATTCCAACAGCATGGGTAGACTGATGGAGGATATGATGGGATAGGTAAAGAGGAGGTTGACTTGGCTCATCGATGTTCCAGGAACGGTAGTGATATGGAGGATCTGATGCAGGACCGGACCGATAGAGGAGATGATGGATGGATGATGAATGGCTAGTAGGATGGGTGACTGGATGGAAGGATAGTAGGACGGATGATCTGATGGATTGCTTGATTGAATGGCTGCTATGAGGAAGATGGAGTATCCCAGTGCTGGATGAGAGTTGTAGAGAGGCAGACAGTAACCGTATATGATGACAGTAGACGGTCATCACTCCATTAAGACCGATCATCTCAATAACGCTTCCGGCAGAAAAATGCAAATGTCCCTGGCCTCAAATTATTAACTTCTTCTTTTTCGTCGCTATCGTCCAGGCCTCGTGCCAAAGGATGCTCTCATTCCTCCACCTGATCCGAAATCTTGTGCTATTGTCGATCAGACTGGGTATCCAACCCTTCATTCTGTCTACCGTGTCCTCAAAAGTGTGGGAGAGTTAGTTACTGGCCGTTTACAGGCCCCACGAGGGGTGCCGGAGAGTTGGGCCCAGAGCTCTTCTTCATCTTCAGCGTCAGTGGGAACGGGTAGTCATCGGGTTCCTCTTCCTCACTATGATATGGGTCAGTCCATGTTCAAGACGTATCAAGGCAGCCAAACTTACGGCAACCTCCATGCGATGTAATCTTCCGTGCTTAGACCCTCTTTGCCCTCTTGCAATGAAGCGAAATCACCTGGCGTCATCATACCAGTTCGATCCCGAGGCGATCCTGGCACAGAGAGTGGTCGAGAGATCTTCTGTTCCGTGCCGCCGATGATATCATCGAACTCGTCGGCGTCCGTGAAGGAAGCAGGATATGCGCGGCGTAAGGCAAGCTGTCGAGCCTTGACATATTCCATGCCCATTCGTTTCCAGTCTAGAAGATCGCTGAGGCGCTCGGTGCGATTTCGCTGATTAATCCGTTGCCTCCGGGATTTATTGGCGAATTCGAACATGTAGTCGGTCAGTTGATTGACTGATTCGTCCACACCCTTAGTACGACGATCTACAATGTAGATCCCGTAGTCCGAGGAGTTCTCGATAAGCTCCTGGATCAAATATTAGCCGCAGTCGCCGATAAGTAGAGGCACATGTTCGAGTAGTTGAGTCTGTAACGATGCTCCTACTTTTCCTGAGCACTTACCTCCATATAACAACCGAAGCCAGAGAGGTTAGTGGTAATTGACGGCACTCCCATGACTGTACATTCCGCCTGTTGAACAATTAGCGTCGATTGCTCACAAGTATATGAGCTAATACTTACAGGTGTATAACCCCAGGGTTCGTAATAGGAAGCAAAGACGCCGAGGTGAGTACCTCGAACAAAGTCGTCATAGTCCAGGGACAAAACTGGGTTCGCAGAGTTCAAGAACTCTGGATGGAAGACGACTTTGACACGGTCGTGTGTGTTATTGAAGAGTTGGACGCGGCGCAGTTGATTCAGGACTGGATCCTCAGAATCATTAACCATGTTGTGGGTGACAATGGGCGGAAGACCGTGGCGTTTCATGGCAAAGAGTCGCCGTCTAAGCAAAACCCGATCAGCTGGAGTGATGAGCTCCTTGTCGTCAGGCATTGGATCTCCCTCCTTCCAGTGAACAGCCCTTTCGAACAACCTCCGACCAATTCCATGCTGAATGTTGGAAACAGTGTCGGCCAAAGACTTTGTCACAGCTTGGCCTTTGAGCGACTCGACCGAGAGGGATGTTGTCTGCGCTGGCATGATCAAAAATGCCACAATTGTTGTCTTGCTGCCTGCGCTCTGCATGCGATAGTTCAGTCTCGCCAGCGATTCAATGAACATATCCACACCCTTATTCCGATATTCGTATCGACCCGCAGTGAAGTAGTAAAGCGTGTTCTCCAGGTCAAAGTCCAGACAGCCATAGAAGTGTCCCCGTACGAACTCGTGGATCTTTTCTTTCTGTACCGAGTGGAGGTTTTGGAACTCATGGACAGCGGAGAATTTCTTAACATTCAGACCATTGGGGAGGACCCCGTCAGGTTTCCGCTTCAACAGATGCTCGCTCTCAAAGGCGGTGATATGGGAAACAGTCGTGAAGACGTCGGCAGAGTGAGCTGATGCTCGTTCAATGCAGTATCGATGGTAGATTCCACGTTTCCCTGCCTCTGCATCCACATCAAAGAATTGTAGGTTGTTGTAAAAGTCGACTGAGCCGGCGCAGAGGTATCGACCGAGGAGCGTGGCGTGTGTGGTGAAGATGGTGGTCAAGTCCATCTGACGTTTCTTGGTCAATGGTAGGGCGACCCCGGCGAGCCATTCGTGGAAGTGGGCAATGACTGCGCGGTCAGTCTCACGAGCGATAAACTGGATCATCGTCAGCGATAGCATAGATTAGCGCCATCTCAAGCACTTACTTCACCCAAAAACCATGCCACCAAATATCCAAACACGATGGCTTCATTTGTCTCATGATCTCCGGCAGGAGAAGGGATACCAGCGGCGGACCATAGGTCACCTTTCCATTCATCCAACCACCGGTAACCAGTCCCAGTATTGATGAGGAGTACCCTCGGAGCGCCTTCGATAAGCCAACGGCCGTACATGAGCTCGATCCCGCGTTCCTGCATAGATGAAATGGTATCTCGAAGAGGGCCCGGTGGCGGATCCAGGGTTTCAACTTCAACTGCGGCCTGCAACGGTTAGCTCATGCCTGCATTCAATTTTCGTCCTGCTTACCGAGTTCTTGTTGAGAGGACCGATGAGCGTATACCGGTCGCCATATTCTGCTGTTGTCACGGGCGCTTTAGACTTGAGCACTGAGTAGATGCCACCCACTGGTCTGGATTAGCACATGCGTCATGTAAACAGATTGGCTGGTGATCGTACCTCGATTGGCAACCTCGGTTGCAACTTCGAAGAGCAGATGGTTTTTAATATCCCTCTTCTTTTCCGTTTCGCCGTTCATGTTGCCGGTCCTGTTTCGTGTGCCTTTGTTGACAGAACAAGGTCCGTGGTGTTTATCGATTGGGCGGAAAACGCAGACGAGAGCTTACCCCACAGCCTGCGGAAGCTTGCAGGTAGGATTCACAGCTTAACGATAGGAGGGTAAGAGGTCGAAAGGTGAAGGTGAGGGGGTTGCCGAGCTCTCGTGATAAGCTCGAGTCAACAATTCCCGCTGGCAAGAAGAAATACAGGAGATGGCAATCCGTGAATGGCGTTACGAAGGCAACTGTTGAAAAGAAATTGAGGCAGGCTGGGACGATGGCACCACAGCAAGCGATCTCTGGGGGCAGGGCGTGTGTGGATGAAAGTAGGGAAGCTCCACTGCAAGACAAGGGAAGCAAAAAGATCCAGTTCGTGGCTTTTTATCGAAACTGAAATTCCAGCAACAGTACAGCTTTTCTGAAGTTTATTCCAGGTGACAGCAGGCACAGAAATCCAATGTGAGGACAACAAAGGTTGGATGGAAAATTATGCTGCTTGTCACTTTCAAGAGATGGGATAATGGTAGGGACATGACGGCATTGAGGAGAATCATACGACTATTACTTTTTGAACGGTGGGTTGAAGCTCTCTTTGGCACGGCGACCGCACCTGGCACCTGTGGGAAATGCACAATGACGGATTGCACGTCATTTAGGGTTACGGCCTCCCAGATTGGGCCTAGCAAGGCCTAGATAGCCCAGCTGTTAGGCCCAAAGCCGGGGCTATCGAGGCCCAGCAGTACCACTGACTCCCCTGGCCACATCTGTGGGCACCCACTCGATGCCCACTAATCCACTCTCCAGCCCCTATGCCGCTTCTGATTGAGGGAAATTGCTCCCCCCAACCTTCTTGCAGGAGCTTTTTGCCCCGCATTCTGTCTCGCCTCCTCGCCTGCGAGGCCCATTCTTTCTCAAACACCCCAATACCTTGGAAAACATGTGAGATGGTTGTGTTGCTATGCTGACGGATTTGCTCTACTCGGCACAATAGCTCCAATCATGTCGCTCACCTTCTCGGTTGCATCTCCGCCCACAGGACCTCAGTCTTCAAGTTTCCCAGCACATCTCGGAGGATTGAAGCGATCGTTCGATGCGGACGAGATGTTACGCTGCCCTCTATGACAGCAACCCTTTTGTCCGTGAACACCGAGTATCATGGCGGAGAGGAGCGTTTCACGATGGACACTGATCTGGTGCTTGATGCTAGCGTCGTGGGATAGCATTGCTAATAGCTTGAAGCAGCAACCCATTGCGCAGTATGCCAGAAAGCTGAATCTCATCTTCATTTTGACCGATGACCAAGACCTCCATATGGACTCCCTCTCGTATATGCCCCTTCTAAAACAGCACGTGGGTGACCATGGGACTTCCTTCCGAAGACATTACTGCACAGTGGCTTTGTGTTGTCCATCCAGAGTCAGCATGTGGACTGGCAAGGCTGCTCATAACACCAATGTAACCGACTTACATCCTCCCTGGGGTCAATCCTGTCCTTTCTCATCTTTGACGTCGCGCACAAGACTCACCAAAAGCAGGTGGATATCCAAAGTTTGTCAGTCAGGGCTTCAACGACGCATACTTGCCTATTTGGCTTCAGGAAGCTGGTTATGATACCTACTATGTGGGCAAGCTGTTCAATGCTCAGAGCACGTCCAACTACGACAAGCCGCATGCAGCAGGGTGGACTGGTTCCGATTTCCTACTTGACCCCTACACGTACGAGTATTACAATGCCACTTTTCAACGGAACAAGGATCCTCCTACAAGCTATCAAGGTGAATACTCCACGGATGTGATGGCGCAGAAGGCATTTGGCTTTCTCGACGATGCAATTGAGGCGGATCGACCCTTCTTCCTCACCATCGCGCCAACAGCTCCGCACAGTAACGTCCATTTCAACAACAACACAGCAGAGCAATCTATGCCTCGACCTGCCCCGCGCCACAGAAGTCTCTTCCAGGACACAAGAGTCCCTCGAACTCCCAACTTCAACCCCGATGTGTCGAGTGGTGCTTCCTGGATCCTCACATTAGCCAAGCAGAATCAATCGAACCTCGATTACAACGATGAGTGGTACCGCAACCGCCTTCGTGCACTGCAGGCTGTGGATGAAATGATTGGTGGCGTGGTGGACCACTTGGAACGAGCTGACATGTTGGAGAATACCTATCTTTTCTTCTCGACTGACAATGGCTATAGCATCGGACAACATCGAAGGCAGCCCGGAAAGCAGTGTGCATTTGAGGAAGACATAAATATTCCGTTGATCGTACGAGGACCTGGTGTGCCGGAGGGCCATCTTACAGAAATCGTCACATCGCACATCGACCTGGCGCCCACATTCCTGAGTCTCGCAGGTGTTGCGGATGCACAGATAGCACAATACGAACTGGATGGCAGTGTGATACCGTTCCACCTATTGGACTCGCTGCATTCGGAGCAAGCATGGCCTCAAGAGCACGTCAACGTAGAAATGTGGGGGATCATCATGTCGGAGGGAGAACATGGCTTCGTCCTCTATCCCAATCATACCTACAAGGCACTCCGGGTCATTGGTGACGGCTATGATCTACTCTATACCGTGTGGTGTAGCAACGAGCATGAGCTGTACGACATGACTAAAGATCCGTGGCAAATGGACAATATCTACGTTGAAGGAACCAGATCTTATAATCTGGCTATGCCTGCTGCAGGATTCAGTGACCGACCGTCTTCTGCCACATCACTTGCAAGTACCGAACAAATCCTCTCGAGTGTCAACGTCACCACCACAATATCGCACCTCTTGTCCCGCCTCGATGCTCTTCTTCTAGTACTCAAAACTTGCCAAATGGACGAGTGTCGATACCCATGGTCGGCCCTCCATCCAGCCGGCAGCGTGCACAGCCTCCGCGACGCGTTGGATTCGCGATTCGACGAATTCTATCGCACGAGGCCGAAAGTGCAGTATGACCGGTGTGAAAGGGGATACTTCCCTGCTAGTGAAGGGGCGATGTGGCATGGAAGTATGTCTTTTAGATCAATGGAGCACGAAGTGTGGATCGATCCGCGCTGAAGGAGGACGATTAATGACTGCACTTTCTAACCAGCGTCTCTTCGTCTCGAGAACTCCCATCTATTCATCGAAGCCCTTCCGAGTCATCACGCGCCGAAATCATTTGCTCCTCTTATAGATCTTTGCCAGGTATGCATCAAACACACCTTTCTTCAGTCCCTCGCTCTCATCCACGGCCGCGATCATTCCACGCAGCTCTCCAACACGCTTCTCCTCGTAGTCTTGATATCTCTTCTCTAGTTGTAGCTCGTTGTACAAGTCCTTCACCTTTGCCTCCTTTGCATCATCCTTCTGCCCGTAATTCTCGTCCAGCAGCTTTCTTTGCTCCGGTGTGCAAATCAGCAGTGCTTGATTGACCAACCACCCACACTTGTTATCCTTGATGTCTGTGCCAATCTTGCCGATGACCGAGGGATCGCCAAACGCGTCCAGATAGTCGTCTTGGACTTGGAAGTATTCGCCTAGTGGGATGAGAATGTCGTGTGCTTGTTTCAAGTTCTTGGGAGTGGCGAGGCCAAGGTAGTGTAGGGCTAAAGCCACGGGGAGGTAGAAGGAGTAGTACGCGGTCTTGTAGATGACGATGAAGGTGTACTTGGTCATGGAGAAGTTACTCAGATCAACCTGGTCTTCTGGTGCAGTGATCAGATCGCACAACTGGCCCAATTCCGTCTGCCAAGTGACTTCGTGAAAGAGCTCGACCAGGTCAATGTAGGCGGCGTGGCTGCGGAAGTGTTTCTTTAGAATGAGGTAGATAGAGGACTCGAGCATGAAGGCATCGTTGATGGCGATCATTCCCACCCCTGGATGACGGTACCAGCACGGTTCTCCGCGACGGGTTATGCTGGCGTCCATGATATCGTCGCTCACCAGGAAGAATGCTTGCAGTAACTCGGTGAGCCATCCCAGGGTTGCGAGGTCTTTGAATTCCTGAGGGGACAAGGGCCTCCCGAGGAGCTGGATGGCAGTGTCTGGTACTGACATGCCTCTGTTCAGCTTCCCCGTGGGGGTGTTCACATTGAGAGACTGGTAGGAGGAATTAGCCTTGAGAGTGCGCCAATGCGAGGAATTCGGTGGAGGTAGGTACCTTTTCGAACCATTGCAAAGCATTTGCTGGGAGATTGAACTTGCGACATTCCCCCAGCAGATCCTCGACCAGCGAGGGAAAGACCTTTTCGAACTCTGCTCGCGTTGTCTTCGTCGCCATTTTGAGCGGCCGACTTGATTTTTTGGTTTGATCGACAAAGTCGGTGGGCGGAGGGGGGAACAAAGAACTTTTTGGAGAAGCGGCCCTGGCGAGAACGGAGGCGGCTTCACCGAGTGGCGCCGCCAAGTTGTGGCTCGTCAGGAACAGGAAGCGCAGCCTCCCCGCAAGTCAGCCTAGGTGATACTCGTATGTTCCCAGTCATCCATTTTTTATTCTGGTGTTCACATCTCACCCTCGTCGCACTCATGGCTTCGCGACCCTCGACTCCCACACCCCAGGCTGCGGCCGGGCCAAAGTCCCCGCTGACCCCAGAACAAGTGAGGCGCCTAGAGATAGACCGCCTGAAAGCAAAGGCGTTGCGTGAACAACGAGAGGCGGAGGCCGCAGCCACAGCGAGCCTTAATCGATCAGATCCTCCTACCAGCGCAGGTCAGAAGCGCTCGTTTGCCACTTTCGCTCAGACTTCTGTACCTCCCACAAGCCGCGATGCCAGAAACGAGGTCGATAATCGTCCTCTCGAGGCCATCCAACCTGCGCGCAACTTTGCCAAGTACGTCGACTATGATTTCAGTAAGATGGCAGACACAAAGGGTGGGTTTTTGACTGCAGAAGATGATCCGTACAACAAGGCGATGCACGCCGATGAAAAGGATCAAAAGCCCTCGCATATGACTCAAAAGGAATGGGAAAGACAACAGCTGCTCAAGTCGCTACGGAATCGACAGGCGGGACCTTTCGAACCAGGTATCAGTGCAATCCCTGACCAGACTACAAGGTCATGTCGAGAATGCGGAACTCTGGAGGTGGATTGGAAATGGCTCGATGTCTTCCATCTTGCTGTATGCAACGCTTGCAAGGAGAAGTTCCCAGAGAAATACAGCCTGCTCACAAAAACGGAGGCGAAAGAGGATTATCTTCTTACAGATCCAGAGTTGAAAGACGAATCCCTTCTCCCACATCTCGAAAGACCTAACCCACACAAATCTACATGGCACAATATGTTTCTGTATCTGCGCTGTCAGGTGGAGGAATATGCATTTTCGGACAAGAGATGGGGTTCTGCTGAAGCTTTGGATGCAGAGTTTGAGAAGAGGGAGACGGAGAAGAAGAGGAGGAAAGAAAACAAGTTCAAGTCAAAGCTGGCTGACTTGAAGAAGAGGACAAGAGTCGAGGCATATCAGAGGAGCAAGAAAGGCGGCGGTGGAGGAAATTTTGGAGACGACATGAGCGGTGGCAAACACGTCCACGAATTCGGTCGGCCGATTGACAATCCGGAGACTGGATTCCCTGTCAAGACATGCATGACATGCGGACTGGAAGTCGAAGAACTGGAGTTGTAAGATAGCAATAAATATGATACCCCTTAGTAAATGAAATCGAAGACTCGACGAGAGATGTGCAATAATTTGATCTATATGCCTTGGGACTTCCAAGGCGTAGTAAAATGGCGCCCTGAGAATATATCTCTTCCTCGAGTGAGTCTATTCCTGGAAAACCGAGCAAAGGGAGACGCAGAGGCAAACTGTAAGCCCTGGCTGGTACTGGTATTTGGTAGTAGTGAGGAGCAAGCGATGATAGGTGGAAGGTTTTCTTTAGTCGCAGTCAACCGCCGCGTTGGCGCTAGGTCGGGGCTGGCTGCAAGCCGTTCCCAAACCCGGGGAGGGAAGTTGCTGCAACTGCTGCTCGCGCTTCTAACCACCAGGAGACGACCTGAACCATCAACCAGCTCGACTGTCCTTCACCCTGCCAGCCGTCCACCCTTTTCCATTCCTGCCGAGTCTGTCTTCGTCCGCGTCCCTCAGCGTCTGCATCATAGATTTCTCGTCCCCCTTACCACCACGAGTTCTCCGCATCGACTGAAATTATCCCGACCGAAGCTAGCGTGACCCTTTCCGAATCTCACAGTCCACCAACATGGCTAGATGAGAGAGACACACGCATCTGAGCGCCAGAAAGCGCATAATGGCGTGGCAGCCCGGGGCTGGAGGGGGCGGCGTAGGAGGAATGGCCGGCGGAGAAGCGAACGGTGTTCAAGCGTACACGCTACAAGGTAGACAACTTTCTCTCTACGATCCTGGGTCAAGTGCTGACAGCTGCAACCAGGTGTTATGCGATTTTTACAGACAGAATGGCACCGCCATGAACGAGACCGAAATGCCTGGGAAATCGAACGCGAAGAGATGAAGAACAGGATAGCCATACTCGAAGGAGAGACCAGAACGAGCAAAGGCATGCGGGTTTCCCTGGAACGACATGTTAAATTGCTGGAATCAGCACTTAAAAAAGAGCGCGAGAAGGTCAAACATGCTGCGAAAGGTGAAACAGTTGACCATTCCAAGGATGCCAAAGAACTGGCACGGGAAGAATTAAAGGCCATCAACAACGGTATGCTATCTCGCGCATGCTTCTGTCTAACGTTATTAACTCAACGCAGATTTGCACGTCAAAGGAATCAGCCAGTTCGACGCCGAAATTGATCCTGAGAACCCACTAGGTCAGGGAATCCGACAAGAAAAAGAACGTGACAAGTCCAGAAGCTTCCTCTCAAAATGTTCGTCAGAAATCACGTACCACGTCCTACCTACAGCCCACGTACCTCCTGATGTAAACGACCTTGCGACCTCGACCAACGGCAACCATGTCTTCCAAGGCCGGCAACCTACGCAACAAGAGCTCCAAGAAGCATATCTACAGTTACAACAAGTCAAACAGCAGCATCGCAACGTGGCCATGGTCCGAGAAAACGCTTCTCAGCCACCGACGCAGTTCGCCGAACCTTCACCACTGAGCCGGACGAGTACGCAGATCAACACTTCAGAACTCCAGCCCGGTGCAGCTGACAGGAGGTTACCTGAACATATCATCCAATCTGTTCCCGTGGTGGACCCCAGGAAAAACTTCTACAATGAGCAAATTCCGGTCATCGAGGATCAAGTGGAGTCGATAACACACAGTTTCGACGCCTATGGACAAGAAATTCCTTTGAAAGAGCCAGTAGAGATACGGGCAATGGACGAACCGAAGCAAGAAATGGCCGACGCGTGGGATTTCGATGATGGACCAGCCCCTTCCGAAAAGACGTCTGAAGTAGCTTCGCCACACAGACCAGACACCGAAATCTTCCCCAGCGCCAACATGATTCCTTCCAAGTCTCCACCCCGAGCACCAGGTTCCTATCGTCGAAAGAGCTCGGGGGCAAGACGACGGAGCGAAGGCAGCAATGATGTGCGGGAATTAGCAGTCAAGTCAGATGCCTCACAGTTCAAAGTCAGGTTTGCTATGAGGGGTCATCTGGATGTCGTCCGCTCCGTCATTTTCACAGGCGGCGGCAGCCCATCCGAACCCGAATTCTGCACGGCCAGCGACGACGGTGGAGTCAAGAGATGGCACATTCCGGCGTCTTATGGCCACAACGTTTCTCTCGGGGATGATTTGGACAGAATTGCTCATTTCACCCACCGAGGACATATCGGAGCCGTCTGTTCGTTGGCGGCATGTCCAGCTTCACCGAATTTCTCCAGCGGCGGCCGGGCAGTCGGAGATGGTTGGATCTTCTCTGGTGGCGAAGATGCCACCGTCAAGGTCTGGGAACGTGGTCGAGTCGATGCAAAGGCCACCTTGGAAGGCCACAAAGATGCTGTCTGGGCATTATGCTGTCTCCCGGGGTCAACAGGCACAATTCTCGGGGATCGATGTTCACAGTTCGGTGGACCGGATCGTGTCCTCCTCGTGGCTGGTGGCGCCGACGGCACCATTCTGATCTGGGCTGTCAGTACCCCGCCACAATTGACCTCGCCGCAAGCCAGTAGTCGATCGGCCAGAGGGAGTAGAAGAGCCAACTCGATATCTGCCGGCTCGAATTTCCCCAGCTCACCTCAACCGAGTATCGCCAGCACGACTCCTTTCAACTACAGTTTGGTGCATCGCATAGAACGGGCAGATAAACCGGCGCCTACATCGATTTCGCCATTGGGCGCGCATGGCGAAAATTTTGTTGTTGGTTATACGGACGCGAGTGTCCTGGTGTTTGACACGCGGACAGGGGAAGAGATTGTCGGAATGGCCAGCCAAGAGACTTACGATGGTACGCCGAACACGGGCATCAACGCAGTTGTTGCCAGCAGCGCGGGCTTCGACACAAGGGACTCGGTCGCACCTGGTCGACGTGGATCGATGGGTGAAGAAGACGTGGTCCATGGCGCAACCGGTTCAGAAGGTGGTGTTGAAGGGGTCGTGATTGCTGGTTATGAGGATCGGTATATTCGTTTCTTTGATGCAAACAGTGGTACGTTATCTTTTTGTTTTTGCACTGAATGACCCCCCGAGGCTGACTTCTCTTCTCCCAGGGCAATGCACATACACCATGCTCGCACATCCATCGGCGATTTCTTCCTTGTCATTAAGTCCGGACGGTAAAGAATTGGTATCAGGGGGTCACGATGCAAGTTTACGGTTTTGGTCACTCGAGAAACGCAGCTGTACACAAGAGATCTCGAGTCATCGTATTATGAGAGGGGAAGGAGTATGTGGTGTCGTGTGGAGTCCTGATGGAAGATGGGTCATCAGCTGTGGTGGAGATGGCGCCGTGAAGGTGTTTTCGAGAAGTTGATGTTGGTATGATGACGGCGATCATGGAGACCTGTGATCTGTATCCATTTTGAAGATAATGAAACCTGCCACAACTCCTCTCAAGTGTTCTGGCCTGCGCGTGCATAAGTATGCGGCGCCAAGTTGGACTGTGAAATGGTGGGGTGGATGAATTCTAGTTCTTCTTGCCTTGTTCCACACCGATCTCGCTTCTGCCGGTTATCTCGGATCTACTCTTGTGTTACTCTGATGGAGAAGGACCACAGGGGATTGGGTGTTGCAAGCCTCGCGGCAACGCAAGCAACTACTAGTACTACTTCTAAGTAGTACTGAGTAGTAATCCAACTTGAATTTGATGGCCATCAAGAGCAGCAGCAGTTTTTCGTTGACAGCGTCCCTCCTCAGGAATACTTACTTAGTACTATGTCTTCAAATCCTTTCCTTGTCAAGTCAAGCAGATCACGTACCGAAATGCGAAGAAAAGAAAGACCAGAGGGATTGGGGGCGGCAGGACGCGAGATCTTGTCGCAAGAACTTGGAAGTACTAGTACCTACTAAGAATCGAATCTGGTGGGCTGTTGAGACCCATGGTATCTGTCTGGTCTTGTGATCTTAACGTTCGAACAGTGCTGTGGCGGCTAGAGTGGACGAGGCTGAGAAGAAGAGAGAGTCTTGGTACCGCACTTGCATCTCAGTCTCGCTGCTCTCTCGTGCTGATACAACTTGAAGTTAGAACCTTTGCTGTGCTCGTCAACAAGGCCTAGCCGTCAGTTAGTCACGTCGTGTCGTGGTATTGAGCGACGTCTTGCAACCACGAGAAACCAAGATGAAAGATGAGGACAGTGTCTAGTCAAACCAGGAGCACCCTGGGTCCGAGAGAGCTGGTCATTTTGCTTTAGTAGAGTCTGAAGCCGGAGTACTGGTCTTGACCGTCTCGTCATGAGTGTCTGTCGCAAAGTGCCGACAGAGCTCGTCTGGTAAACATTATTGTCTCCTCTCAATCAAACACAACTGCCGTGGCGTATGTTGGGAGGATATCGCTCATGAGGATAGTATAAGACAGGGGAGAGACTTTCCACTTACACATCATAATTACATACTCGGTACTAGTAGACAACCGAGAGCGACTAGAAAAGAAAGCAAGAGGAGCCTGCTCCTTGTACTCTGCTATCTACGACTGCTAGTAGGAGTAATACTTCGTACTTGCTACTTTTGGCGGAGGTGAAGGTCACGTGAATGCCAGAAGCAGCTTGCAGCCAGTGACAGATCTGGTCCCAAAAGGCAACTAAGCTAGATTAGGAAGTTTTGGTGACTCGTTTACGGCCACGACAAATTCGTGCTCAAGGGCAGTTTACTGTTACTTCAGCACGGCATCACGATACACCTTGGAGTGATAATGGCATCATAGCTTCCAGTTTAGTACTAGGGAGAGCTCGCGGTGGCATAGCGACACCAGTCCTGAGGGTACTCGTACCTCCACCGTGATGGAGTTCGTCAACAATATCGTAAGTGTAGTCTCTCTGCTTGAACCCGATATGAATTGACCAAAACTGTTTGCGAGAGTGTCTGCAGTGATATGAATAATTGAGTATGTCACTTGGTACTTAGTATTACTATTGTTATTCACCTGTACGGACCCTTTAGTGCCACGGAAGTTCAAGTGCTTCACAAGGACAAACAACAGTGACTGCTTGCACAGCCCCGTTCACTCTATAGACGAGTCATGCTACGTGTTGTCACTCTATATCACCCAGTGACCCAGTCACGTATCAAACGACCACAGCATACGTCGTCACCAGTCGACAAACAGCCCCGTTTGCACGACTGCCTCCAGGCCCCTTAAAAATCTCTGAATCTCTCTGCTTCTTGTCGACCTTTTCTTCTCTCCATACAATACAATTCATCAAAGCCCTCCAACCTACATATACCACATCAAAAAACTTCCAACCGCAAACTTCGCAACATCCGCAATGGCAACCTACTCAGGTAAGCTTGCCCCAGTCGCTCATACTCCAGTTGCAGTTATCCTCGTGTCAGATACCAAGTGCTAACTCGAATTGAAACAGGAACCAACTTGACCATGGTCGACTTCGCGATGCCACCACCCAACAAGCCTCCCCCCAAGCCATCCAGCGAACCCAACATTCCCGGAGTCAGCTAAATGTCTCCTTGACCTCGCTCGACACCACTGCAATCAATCGTTCTAAGGACTCTACTCTCGATCTCCTGAACGGGAGGGGGGGATGACTTAGGACCAGGATTGGAGGATCGGGCCAATGAACTGTTACGAGTAAATAGAAATCTTCAGAAGCAACGACATGGAAACACCAGCATCAGGGTGTTTTGAGCTGGCGATAATGTGGTCCTAGCTTGGTTGGGTCGGAAGTGGCTATGCGCATTATTCAATCTTCATCAGCTCGTTCATAGGTCCACTTACCAATCAGAGCAGACATACTATCATGAAATGACTCTCTCCCTCTCCTTTCTGTCTGCCTTCCATGCCGATCGATAATCTCACAACTGCTATCCAGGATGAACTACTAGTACACTACTAGTAGTACTTTGCTTTGATACTGCTTTGATGATACTGCTTTGATGATACTGCTTTGATGATACTGGTACTTTGATACTGGTACTTTGATACTGGTACTTTGATACTGGTACTTTGATACTGGTACTTTGATACTGGTACTTTGATACTGCTCTGATGGCGCTCTGAGGCGGTTTCAATACTGCGTTTGATTACAATTCGGATGACGCAGTATCGAAACTGCATCAGACTGCCATCAGAACTAGTACTATGTTGTAAAGTGTCACTAGTTAATGTACATATGTACCTCCTGCCACTAGTAGTCACTTCCCGCGATCGCCAAGCGTCCGAAACAAATCGCTGTGGAGATGGCCGCCTCGACAATCTCCAAAATACCAAATAGTAAATCTGGGGAGCCGAGGCTCTGGGATTGACCTATTATAACTACTAGCCACCAACCGTACATCAGCATCAAGTGAGTATCTGTACCTATCCTCTCATACAGAACTAGGAAGTACTAGTACTAGGAGTAAGACTGGATTGGACGAACACTTCAATGATGGGACCAGATTGGACAGATTTCCTCGCATACATCACTTCGACTCCAGTCCCTCCCGACGAGATTGAACACTTCCGAACGACATGGGCGACTAAATACATTGACGATCCGGCATACAAGCCCGTCGTGACCTTCTCACGCATACCAAAGTCCGAAGGGGTCGACACGTTCTTTGCAAAGACCATCCGATCGGCCAGCACCGTCCCGAATGCGTTGACCTTGATCCGCAAAAATTTTGTCACTCCGCCGGAAGAACCGCAGTCGGCGGCGAAGGGCAACCGAGACGATGCCGCGCCGCCGCCACCGCCAGACTGTATCTGGCTGCTCGACCTGCGCTCCGACCTCAACGGCTTCAAGGACACCACGCACGGCGGCGTGCTCTGCGCGCTCATGGACGAGGCCCTGAGCATCTGCGTCGAGATCCACCGCCAGCAGACCATGGGCATGCGCTCGAACTTGTACACCGCCTACCTCACCACCAACTACCGCGCGCCCGTCATCAACCCATGCACCGTGGTGATCAAGACGCGGCTCGAGCGGCGCGAGGGGCGCAAGTGGTTCTTGGTCGGGTCTCTCGAGGATGAGCAGGGGAGGGTCTTGACTGAGGCGAATGGTCTCTGGATCGCGGCCAAGGAGAAGTTGTGATTGATGGAGGAATCCTTTGTGCTTTGGTGGGCGGGGACAGACGCTAGATGTGGTTGGACTACCAGTATATCACTACTATACATAGTTACCATCAATTGAAACAGACTACTTAGTATCTACCTCCCCCAGACGGATCCCTCCTACTAAAGACACCCACACACAAAAACTTACTTAGATTTCCTAAAAGACAGCGGATAAAAGAAACAGATTCCCTCGAATCCCTCCTTCTTGGCTGTCTGGGTCTTTTAGCTTTGGTGTGGGGGAATCATCAATCTACGTCGTACATGAATCCGGGGTCTCCATTCATACTACTCCTGCATGGGGCTGCAGTACACTTCGGAATGGTTCTGTTGGATCAAATTCCGATGTACTCGAGCTTCACCTACATAGCTCAGCTGGGTTCTGTAACCTTGGAGATCGACCGGTCTTATAGAGACATTTGGCATGAAGTTGCCGAGCCAATTAACAAGACGAGGAAGATGTGGTGCTGGTCGTCAAAGTACGGTCGTCAACTGACTTTACATGTACACTCTTCCGACCGTAGCCAAAAAACCGGTAATTAGAAACGAGTCGCTGAAACTCATTTGCAGAGCGCACTCAGTGCAGTTCTCCCGCCAAAGTCTTTTCTGAGAAAGATGTTTCTGTGCTGACAAGTGTTGACAATAGCATACAAAGCCAGTCAAGCCAGCCCATCATACGGTCTAGTGACACTCACGCATTGAAGATTCATACATACTAGCTTATCCATCCAAGATGAATGATCTTAAAGGCCTGGTCTGTTTTATGTTTTCCTGGTCTTGCAGTACCTCTGCTCCCGTTGCTTGTCTGATATATTGTGCTTGGTCTATGCGATGGGAAGAATCTCTCACCGCGCGAAGACGCCTAGACAGACACAGTGACTGACATGTTGGCTTCTACTATAGGTCGCAATCGTGACCGGCTGTTCTTCAGGAATTGGCCTGGCAAGCTCACAACATTTTACCGAACTGGGAGCTTCGGTCTTTGGCGTTGACCTGAACCAGCCCCCTGAGGCTCTTGCAGCGCAGGCTAATTTTGCTTTTGGCTCCTTCGACCTCCTCGAGCCGTCGGCACCTCAGGATATCGTCGAAGCGTGCGTCAAGAGGTTTGGCCGAGTCGACATCTTGCTCAACATTGCCGGTGCTCGAGACAATTTTGCAGGGCTGGAGAAGGTGGATCCCGAAACCTGGAACCGTGTTATGACAGTCAACGTGACAGTCCCTGCATTACTGTCCAAATATGCTGTGGCTGAGTTCAAGAAGCAAAAGAGTCCGGGGAGTATTGTCAATGTGTCGAGCAAGGCTGGCTTGAGCGGCGCCATAGCGGGCACGGCATATACTGCTAGCAAACATGCAATTGTAAGTCTCACGAGTCTTCGCGAGTCTCACGGAATCTGGCCTGATGATAGGTTTGTCGCTCACAATAATGCTTGCAATCGCAGATCGGCCTGACCAAGAACGTCGCATGGCGCTATCGCAATGATGGCATCAGATGCAATGCCATCTGTCCAGGCGGTGAGAAGCCTTGATCCTTTCCAAGTCCGTGTTCGATGCCTAAACAAACGGTCTTCTTCTAGGCTTTCTCACCGGTGGTACTCAGGCGATTGATCCGGAAAAGATTGATGCAGAGTCGATGGAGCACTGGAGGTTTGTAACAAACTCTCAACCATTTCTTCGACAGTTTAGCATGTATCGAGACCAAGTGCTGATGAATCTATTCTCAGGCCTGTCCATTTACTTCATGCAAGTCCTACAGGTCCCGCGGACCCGATCAAAGCTGCACGGCTTCTTGCGTTTTTGGCATCACCACAGTCCGCACAAGTCAATGGCGCCATAGTACCGATTGACAATGCCTGGAGTTGCACATAGTGACGTGGGATTTCATGACATGAATTCAAGTGGTGACATCCTGTAGTGGCAAATATAACTAGAGCCTGTGGAAATGGATACAGCATAGAATGCCGGGCACTTGCATCTTGGCTACTTGGTAGCTTCTGGTCTCTTCTTTCGCATCTTTTGTTCAAAACCTTGTGCTAACCTACGTCTACGTTTGGCTACAATACCCTTCCAAATGACCGGCCGGCACCTTTCTGATCAAGTTCATTTTATACGCAGTAGGTGCATGAATAATTATACTTGGTATACATCCTGCCACGAGACTGCCCCCGACTCGACCAGGGGTTTACGGAATGCTGAATGAAAGCCCCGGAACTGTGCCGGAATCGGCAAGGAAATTGGAGAGACTGCCCAACCCTTGTATAAGCATGGTGGTGCCCTTTGATTCTGTGGTCAAACTTACTGCCACAAAAGGGAGTTTTTATACGACATCTACTACTAGTACTTCCACCAAATCTTACACCTAAAAATCACGAGCGTCCACCGAGACATACCAGTTCTACCACCAGCTTCTCAACTCGCTCTCTACCAGGACGATGGCGCTTGTCACCTTGTTGAATTCTCCGCAAGCTGTGCTCGCCTTTGGAGGAGCTTTGTTGCTTTTGGTAAGCTTCCAGATGATAATGAAAAGGAAAATACCACAGCCAGGTCTGACATTTTTAACTCTGTTGATGTCGAGATATAGCCTCTTGTTTACTACGCCAGTCTGGCCATATACAATATCTTCTTTCACCCTTTGGCACATTACCCTGGGCCGATACTTGCCCGTGCCAGCCATTTGTGGCGTCTGAAAGGATACTTGTATGGCACCGAAGCTCACGACATCTTGGAGGCCCATAACAAATATGGCGGTGTCGTTCGCCTTGCACCGGACGAGTTATCCTACGTGAGCCCAATTGCATGGAAGCAAATCTACGGTCACAAGACGGCGGGTCAGCCAGAATGTCCAAAGGATCCCGGGCATCACGCGGATCTCAAGATTCAGACCATCCTCAATGCCGATCAGGAATACCACGGTGTCCTCCGCAGGCTGCTCGCACACAGCTTCTCGGACAAGGCATTGAGGGAGCAAGAATCAGTCTTGCTCGAGTATGCCGATATCATGGTCCGGAGAATTGGGGAAGAAGGGCAAAACGGAGCACGAGCTGTTGATATAGTGGAATGGTATAACGTAAGTTCTCCAAACTGCCTCGAGTTCAAGGGAGTCTCCTCCGTATCATGCTGATGGGAATTTATCACTCCAGTTCTTCACCTTTGACGTTATAGGCTATCTGAGTGAGTACTTTTCCTGAAAGGATCATGGCCTTATAATCCCATTATACTAATCGTCGAGCGTTTTTCTACCATTGATATAGCCTATGGTGAAACGTTCGGCTGTTTGTCCAGCTCCGAGCTACATCCATGGATTGATCTCATGTTTGTCATGGTCAAACAAAAGGCCTTCTACCAATGCCTTCATCGTCTACCATCCTTTTTACGACCGGCATTCAACCACTTCTTCCGCCCCGCCGGGCGTCAAACCACTACGACTGTACCAAAGGGTTTAGCCAGGGTAGTAGTTCCTCACCCCCCCCTTCTCCTCCTCCCCCCTCTTACTCGGCATCTTGTTGCTCTGAACATGGTTTTTACTTGGTACCTTTGGTCAGTGAATAGCAAGCTCACTTCTGTTGTTGACACACAGGATAAGATTCAAAATCGGATACACTATGAGACCAAGACTCTGGACCTGGTTTTCAAGCTGATCGAGGCATACAAAGACGGCAAAATGTCGTTTGAACAGCTCGAGAGCAATACCATGGTGCTCATCGTGGGAGGGGCCGAAACTACAGCGACATTATTATCTGGTAACACTATCTATCTCATCATCTTCTCGTGCCCTCCATCCTCATTTGTTCTTTTTTTGATTTTCCTTCTTTTCTTCCCCGTCTAACGGGTGGCCCACGTACATAGGCGCGACATACTATCTACTCACGAATCCAGCCTCCCTGGCGAGATTGACAAGGGAAGTGCGCACAACCTTTGCCAGCCCGGCGGACATCAACTTGACCTCGGTCAACGGGTGTCCGTATCTGCTCGCCTGCCTGGAGGAGGCTCTTCGCGTCTACCCACCATCCCCGCAGACACATACTCGCAAAGCCCCGCGCGGAGGGGTCGAGATCGACGGCCAGTTCGTGCCGGAAAACACGACGATCGGTGTGCCCATCTACGCCGCCTGCCACAGCCCCTTGAATTTCGGGGCCCCGGACAAGTTCATCCCGGAGAGATGGCTGGGGAACGAGTCGTCGTCGGCCTCCTTTGCGAGAGACCGGAAAGACGCCGCCCAGGTCTTCTCGATCGGACCGCGTGCTTGCATCGGGCGCAATCTGGCACTTTTGGAAATGCGACTCGTCATGGCCAAGCTGTTGTGGCATTACGATTTGAAGGATTGTTCCAGTGGCAATGGCAACGGCAGCAACGTGTGGGCAGACCAGAGGATGTACATGCTCTGGGATAAGCCGCCTCTTATGGTCAAGTTGGTCAAACGGGACTCGGAATAGAAAAAAAAAATAACATTTGCACTGTGTTGAGGTACGTCTCATGAAGAGTGAGTGGGTGTTGGGTATACGAAAGATACTTCTTGAGCCATACATAGCAAAGGAATATATATACGTTACATGTATTTTCATTGCCCCCAACGAGTAGACACATAGCGTGCATGGCGATTCTCTCTGAATGACATACATTCTCACGCTCGCTCTTCCGCCTCGCTTTTCCCTTTCACAGACCTCACTCGGCCGCCTTGATGTCCTCCTCATGAGTGGCTGCTGCTTCTCCGCCGCCCCCTGGCTTCTCATCATATGTCATGTGTTGTGCGACCTTCTTGGTCAAGTGGTGAGACAGCTGAGCACTCATCAGTTGTGGGGGGTTGCGGACATGATCATCATGATTTGCAGAGTTGAGAGAGAAAAAGACTTACATCCTTGGTTGCGACGGCACAGAAGAAGGCAATGACACCGAATGGGATCGAGGTAAGCCACACATATCTGAAGGAAGCCAGATAGGCCTTTTTCAAAGCCAGCGCGGACGACTCGAGAATTGTGGATGTCGCGCCTGGTATCGAGGTGAGTGGGACGTCGGTGACGACGCCGGTCAGGACACCGAGCAGCTCCGGAAGCGAGTCTTCAGGAAGACCAGCCTCGATGGCTGCGGCGGTTACGTATTCCGGAACGAGCGCTGCAGATCGGTCTTGAAAGATGGTGAGGTAGATGGCACTGCCGGCGGAGCCACCCATACTGCGTACCAAGCCGAGTGCACCGGTCGCGAAACCGATCCATTCGTCCGGTGTCGCCAGTTGTACCAGGAGGATGGTGAGCAGCTCAATGATGCCGATGCCTAGGGTTTGTTGCAAAAAAGCGAGTTAGTTAGAGTGTTTTCGCATCATGACGTGTAATGAGACTCCAGGAGCACATCATTGAAAGCATACCAATTCCAGCCATGAACGAAAAGGCCAGCGCCATGGACTTGCGAGTCTCGTCAACCAGACACATCATCGGAATGAAGAGGACTTGCAGCAGGACTCCAAAGCTCAGAATGTTCCGTGTGCCGATTTTGGGTCCAAGAAAAGGTAACAATATTGCTGCCCCTGAGCCGCCCAAGTTCGTGCCGATGCCGAACGTAAAGCCATCAATGCCGACCTTTGACCAACTATTCCCCTCAAAGATGAGGGTGAGGTAGGTTGGCCAGAACACCTGGAGAGAGTAGAATAACATGCCGCCAACGCCGGCGCAGATGAGAATCAGAGTGAAGGTGCGGATGCGGCGGAAAAGATACGGATGCAGCAGCGGATTCCGTGCCCATTTGGCTTCGTAGACACCAAGGAGAATGATGACGATGCAGCCCGTGATGAACGGCCCCAGAAACCGTCCACTTGTCGCGCCATACTCTGGTACCCAACAGATTCCCATGAGGAAGAGAGTCGGACCGATCTAGTTCCGTATTAGCACGTTGCTCTTGAAAAGTCAGGGCAACCCCCCTACCATGATACCAAGTATACCAATGTAGTCGAAGGATTTCAGGATTTCCCTTCTGCTGCCAGCAGGCCGCGCCAGTGCCCGCGCTGGAAAATAGGTCACGGCCACGGCCACTGTACCGACGATATTGCAGGCCAGAGACATCCAGAAGATAGTCCTCCACTTCGGGCCGGTGTTGAAGGATACGGCATGACCGATGAGAGAGCCACACATGACAAAGCCAGCAGAGCCGAGACTGATGATGCCGATGACGATGCCTCGTGTTCGCGTTGGCACCAGCTCGGCGATACAAGCGAACGTGGTGAGACAGCCCGCTTGGTTCAGGCCCTGGAAAATGAAAGCCACGATAGCTGCCGCAGAAAAATTGATTTAGTTTCTTCTCAGGTTTCATTGTCAGAATCTTACCGGCGGTCATGTCCTGTGCAGTGATGCCGAGAATACACCCGATGATGGCAGCAATGCCGCACCCGATGATGAACCATCTTCGACCGACGAGATCAGAGAGTGCACCCGTGAGGATGATACCCGTTCCAGCAGCGACAGTCCATGCATTGGCCATCCAGCTGTATTCGGGACTGGGCCCAACATCTTCATTGATGATGGTGATGACTGGGACCAGGCAGAGGAAGGTAGCCAGAGACACAATGTAGAGCCAACCCATGGAAACAACTGCCAGCCAAGTCCTTATTGGGACGCGGGTCACGATCTGGTCGAGTCGGGTGACCTCGTGCTCATGCATTTGTATCTCATCGTCACCAGAAAGAGTGGGGTGGTGGTGTTCCAAGGCAGTGTCGGCGGCAGTAACACCCTGGTGCTTCTCGTGGTCAGGGGACATGGTGTCGTAGTCGTCCTTTGATGTGTTTCGAAGACAAAAAGTGGAAAATGAAAGCACTGTGGCGAGAGGGAAGATATATCAACTCCGAGTGCCGATAGATGTTAATATTGCTGAAGCAGTACAACCTGCCGCACTTTCGCGGCAGACAGCCTCTACTAAGTATTAGAAGCTCGTGTCGTCTCTTGGATGCCACGCTACCTAACTAAAGCTGTCCAGAAATCCTGGGGTATGAGAAAAGCCAAGGTAATCCGGAGATGGAATTGTTCTTGCCACTTGGCGGAATATCGAGACCCAGATACCGAATAAGCACGATTCTATAGTTCCGCTTCGAGGAGGCTGGCTTCAGATCCTCCGGAACCACCATTTCATCTGCTTCCACTGTTCCGGCTTTGGACCTCACAGATCGACCCCGACGCCATGTGAGTATTGACCGAGGACACTGGCCAGGATTACAACTGTCAGGGCGGCTAGCAAACTTTCTGTACTATATACCATTAGCGTAACGCTAGTCCCCGCAGGGGGAACTAAACTCCACAGCTTGAACCTCTTATTGGAGAGCACTACAGGCTTGGCCCGCCAAGAGTGCCAAGGCATCCAATCCCTATATTTTAGTTACCAGACACTATTAGAGCTGCTTCTATATGGTTAACAAGTCAAGCTTCGTCAGACATAAGGTACAAGGAGTACGGGTAACTAACGAATAGTATAATCAAGTGGATAATATAAGTTTGCTACGAGAGATTCCAAGCCAACTAGCTCTTGACCTTCCTCCTCACACCCCGCTCCTGTGGTCGCACAAGGGCCTGTCGTAATAGACAGTGCCAGGTCGTTGGCAACGACATATGTACCATCCGTACTTCTTGCGCTGAATTGAAGAATTGAGTTACCTTAGAACTACATAGGTAATAATGAATGAAACCCGTGTTGCGGTCATTCTTTTCAACTTGCGCCCCCAGACTTACCAATACTTATACTCCTTCATCCAGCCCATTCGCACATTGGGCGTAAAAGAACTCCGTTCCAGCCCACCAAACAATCTTCACCGAACTGAAAATGTCTGATACGAAAGCTTCCGGGAAAAACTCCAACATGATAATCAGTCGGTCCTCGAGAGATGGCTCAGCATCTTTCAATGCCACAGAGGTGTCGGAAAAGTTCACCGGGGGAGCCGTGTGGGTTGACACAGTCCTTGCCGCCGAGGGTATTCTGGTGCACAATGTCAACTTTGCACCAGGTGCACGTTCGTTCTGGCACTGGCATGAGAAAGGCCAGGTGTTGCGCGTCACGGCAGGGTGTGGCTGGCTCTGTGATCGGGGAGCCAAGCCGGTGCGAATCAACGTCGGAGACGTCATCTGGTGTCCTTCCAGTACCGAACACTGGCATGGAGCCGACGATCAAAGCTACATGGTCCACCAAGCTGTATCTCTCGGCAGTGTGAGGTTTATGGAAGAAGTGTCGGACGACACCTACCAGGCGAAGACCGACTCCAAAGCATAGGCATCTATGGAAGCCTTTGCATGATGAGCTAGCTTGGGGGCGAACAATGCTCTCGGTTAACGACCGTAGGAGCAGAAATAATCGACAAACGGTCCTCACTGAATGAAAGTCACCTGTGCTTCCCCCGCTTTGGCCTGCCAGCCCCATGGGGATCCGGAAGAGGAGAATGGGTCATTCTAGAGCCAAGAGTCGATACAAGGCCAGCATAGCACCGACAGAATTGCACGACTCGTAGAGATCACTCTCAAGTACAATAGGTCAGGCAGTTCCGGAACCACACCCCCTAGGATAGTCACGAAGAGGTGGAATTCCCATGTTCAAGCAATGTTCCAACGACCACAAAAGTATAGTATGGGGCGTTGCTAACCTCGTAACGGGACGGAAACAAATTTGGATCAACGTCGCGGCATTCTAACATGGACTTGCTCCGGAGACGATGCACTTCACCAGTTTGCTGCTGCCATTGAAACAGTTGTTCAAGCTGGCAACGATATCCAATACCGTTCATGTCTCGCATCTAATTGACACGTCATCCTCATTTCTCTTTCTTTTGGTTTTTCAACAAGCCAATTTCCCGGTCGTGAATGGACCTTTTTACGACTGGGCGAACTTGACAACCGTCCTGCCATTGAGAGTCACGGAGATTGTGGCCTCGCCCTGGAAGTCGGAGACAAACTCCCTGCCGTTATCAAATGTGTAAGTGGTGCTCGGTTTCAGCTGCTTGATTGGTAACGACACATCCCTTTTCTCGGTTCCTGGGTATAGAACGAGGTCGAGGTCCGTTCCGGTATGGGAGATCGCCTTTGCAACCAGAACCTGGAAAGAATTGTTAGCTCGATACCGATATGTTTGAAGTGGGTTTGAAAGCCAAGATTTTACTTCTGGGTATTTGACGTCGCCGAGATATGGTCCGTTCTTGACAGCGTCACTCATCGGCTGGGTGATGGCTCGAACATAGCCTTTTGTTGTGTTGATGCGCCCACGGAATATCTGTCCTTTCATCAGCAAAGAGACGTTGTCGTACCAAATGACACCGTCTTTCTCGGTTCGTTGAAAATCCTGCATTCGCGTCGATCAGTTTCAAAATCGCATCCGCGGCAACTTTGTCCCCGAGCTCTCGTGCAGCGAGCAGACTCGTCCCGTACAATGCGGCCTTGGACCCCTTGTAGTTACCGGGATCGATAAAGTCGGCGCCTTGGAGCCCCTTGAACTTCATGTTTCCTTTTTCGTCCACTTCAGTGTACTCCTTGCGGCAAATGGCATATGCGCGCAGGGCAATGTCAGGAAGGACCGCGCCAGACAAGCAGCAGACTGAAAAGTCGTTCATGGCTCCTACCAAGCCGGGAATGCGAAATCCTAGCACTGGGGGTGAGCACGTCGAACTTCAAAGGCACAAGGCTTTCTTTCTTACCTGTCAAATGTGATCGTATGGGATGGACGCTGCCATCAGCTGCCTAGGAAAACTGACTTAGAGACTAACAATAGCAATGAGGACAGAGGGGCGTCAGTTACCATGAAATCATCGATGAAAGCTTCGCGAAACTGCGGGTTGATCTCCTCCGCAACCGACGTCCCCTTGTTGGCGTCGTTCGCAACCAACGCATTCATGCCTTGGAGGTTGCAGAAAGTATAGATCCAGTTTGGCTGGGGAGCAAAGTTAGATCAACACATATCCCGCAAGTTTCGGTGTAAATGAAAAAAAAAAAAAAATACTTGCTTCACAAGCATAAAGGCAGTATTGAGACTTTCGAAAGTTACTCATCAGGGCGTCCACTAATATACCAGATGAGACCTTGTATTTGTGAGTATCGTCGATGACAAGTTCCAGGGCGCCGTCTTTGGAGAAACAGTCGTCGCCGGTGGCCCTTCATACATTGCCAATGCAAGCAGGAGAAACCCCGTGAGCATGATATTGTCCACGCGATATGGGTGGAAATTGGTTGACTGGGACATGTCAGACCCAGTTCGGCACAAGGGAAACAAGAGATCTTACAAGCTTCCCCCACAGAACTTCCCATTTCCAATAATTGAGGACCTTCTTCTGGCAGGACTTGAGTATCACTTTCTTCTGCGCTTCTTGAAGGTAGCCTCCGCGGAATGAGGGCGTGTAGAGTTTGTTTGCGAATGACAGCGAGTAACTCAGCTCGTTCAGCTGGTAGCGGAGGGCCGAAGTTTGGAATTGGTCAATATCTGTGAAGTTGTTCTTAGGTCGAGATAGGCACTTAGCCTCCGAGCAAGCTTCGAATCAACATCTTCGGGTAGACTCTTACCAGTCATCCATCTCCTGGGTGGCAACGTTGATGAGGAATCGTAGCTGGCCCAACTCTTCCGGTTGAAGCTCTAGTCCTTCTGTTGGCACGGAACCCGTGGCGTCCCGAGCAATCTGGTCGACTACTGTTGGGAGATAGCGATTCCGCATGTCTCGTTTCTTCAGAGCGGCTGATGCATCTTTGTGCACGTAGTAGACGATATATCCGTATGCGGTTGCTGCAAGCAGAGGAACAACATAAATACTGTACGTTGTGGTCTTTGCCGCAAATGGAAAACAAGGCATGAAAAGCGCAAGGCCGGGCCAAGTCAAGAAAGGTGCCACAATGTTGCCAGTGGCAAACCAAAGAAAGAGGCTGACTGCAAAGAGGACCCTTGACGACTCAACATGAGTTGGGTTTCTCTCTTCTGGGACTGTCACCCTTTGGGGGAATTCACAATGTCAAAGGGAACCCCAAAAGCCACACACCCCTAGCTCCAATGAACGAGCCACCAGGAAATAGCAGTGCTAGGCCAGCATGTTGTAGCCGGGGCTGGCATCAAAAAAGAAAGAAGATACGGCCAGGACAGCACATGTGATATAGATTCGGGGGGTTGCTCCTGCGTATTTCGCCGTCACAGACCCTTTCCCAGCGCTGCTTGGGATTTCGGGCCCAAAGTCATCGTCGTGACCTTTTAATGGAACCTGAGCCAGCGTAGGCTGTTAGCCAACACGTCAATCCAAAGACGGACGCCAGGGAGGGGTGAAAAAAATACCATCGTGGCCGTGGCCGCGGCTGTCGTCGTCAGAGTTGGCGCCATTACTGTAGCTGTGATGCATATACTGGAGGGCCGTGGGGTGTGGGAAAAAGAAATCAAAGAACAGCTGGTTAATCCCCTTTGTCTGAAGACTTCTGGACTTCCTAAACCCGGAAGTGTCTGGAAAAGGTCTGATCCTGCGAGGAGACCTCCCACTCTTCAACTATGTCGTTGGACCTCAGGAAACGAGTCGTGCTGGTGAACCTCTGCCAGAGAGCAGTGCCATAAATGGGCAACACTGAGGGGTTCAGGACGAATTTGTCAAAGAACTTGACCAATTTCGGTCGATTCGAGCAAGGATTAGTCTCCAATGAGCAAGATATGAGTCCCCGCCCAGATGACCTGTCTTTGGTGAAGGCCCTGTAAAGAAAACTCTCCCAGTCTGGCTCCATTCTGGAACTTTGTTGTCTTTGGCAAGTTCACACTAGTTTTCGCTTACGATCCGGGGGAAACGACCAGGCCTTTCAGCCTCGGATTATTCTCCCCAAGGACCGTCTTACGTTTGTTAGCTAGGCCAGCCGACCCAAAAAGTCGGGGGTGGCGACCTGATAGAGAATTCCAGTTCCGTAGGACGGAGGGCAAGAGCTCTGGGCGACCAAGGACTCGGCATAAGCATATAATCGCATTCATGTGTAATGATTTTGAATGGGTTGAGTATCAGAGTTTGACAATGGCTTCTACTGAGCAAAAGTCCAAGGCGTCTGAAGAATGTGATGTGGAGTTGGTGGAAGTCGGGCCGCAGAATGTGGAGGTGGAGGCGGGGAAGACGGAGACTATACAGTACAGCTCGCTCATGAGACCAATGCTGCTGAAGAGCCAGTCATATCTGTACTATTCTACCCATGCAGCCCTTACCAGTATCGTTGGGCCAATCATCACTGGTTACAATTAGTCTTCCTCTGCGTGGTAGAGAGACGGGGGAAATATCGCGAGTCGTAAAGCGCAATTCCAAGGACCTGTGTCTCTTTCAGAGCCAGCGATGGGAGTATCGTGCAAGATGATGGGTTGTCTGCTGTTCTGAAGGTGGCTAGAATTGAGCCTGGGGGATTGCTGAAAGCTCGGCTTCTCTTCTTCGTGTGCGCTCTTTCTTGAACATGAGATGGGGGATTTAAGAGGATACCAGTAGATTTGACATGTTGGCAATACCTTAGTAAAGTACTATAACAGTTCTGGCATGTCTGAACAGAAAAGACGAAACTCGGTATAAAATTATCGGTACCCGGCAGGAATATTGAACCAGTAGTCAACCATCTAATGCTATATGCACACACACAAGTCATACGACGTATGAATCAAAATTCAGCCACGTTCGCACTCGGTCCAGGCTTTTCTCCTCGGCCAAGCTTGCGTCTCGAAAACACATTCCGCTCCCATCCGTCCAACGGGCTGATTTCGACCTGTCTCACCAGCTCGTACTTGCCGAGGCGCGGTAACAGAATGGCCCAGATGAGCCAGTAGACTCCTCCGGCGGCAATGATCCCGATGCCGACCACACAGTGCAGGTAGTATGGGAGGTCATCGTACACGTTCTGTCCGTTGCTGGGAGGCACAAACGGAGCGGCGATGAGGTACAGGTTGCTGAGGAAGAAGAGCAGCGCGACCGGCCACGTTGCGCGGAAGGGGGGCGACCATTCCCAGCGGTGTGGGTTGACGTAGAGATAGAGAAGCCCGGCGGCGACAAAGGCGTTGACGACGGAAAGAGGGTAAGAGATGACGCTGCAAGGCATGAATCAGTTTTGCGTAGGCAGAGCAGGACAGCCAGAGAGAAACACTTACTTTAGGATGAAATTGTATGCGTCTCCAGGGGGAGGTGCGAGCATGATTATCACCGAGACACACCAGTGCTCGAATAGGCCAGCGAGAGGCGCATTGAATGGCTTGTTGCTTGCCCAGAAGCGGGAGAATGGGAGGATTCCCTCACGTCCCAATTCTTGGACCACTAATTGTCATTGCTATTAGTATTTGTATTGCCAGACGAACGAGGGAGGTAGTACGTACGACGACCCTGAGAAAAGATGACGCTGAGCACATTTCCAAAGGCGGAGAGTGCAACAAACACCGAAAGTGCCCGTTCGGCCCGGTGGCCAAAGACATTGCGAAAGAAGGATGCTGCAAGGATGCGGCCCGAAGACACAATCTCTTCTTTGGGTACAGCAGCAAAGTAGGCAATCTGTTCAATGGTGCCCTGCGTTAGCAAAACTCCTGTCGCGGACACTTGTCGGGGGTTCACCGTACGTTGACAAGCATGTAGATGATCGACACGAAGATAATCGCCGCTGGTGCTGCAATCTTGAGGGTGCGGATTGGATTCTTTGTTTCACTCAAGGCATAATTTGCGTTACTGTATCCGATATAACTCCATATCACATTATACAGAGCAGTGACGACGCCATACCTAACATAACAAATCAGCAAATGGCAAAGTTGAGACGATGGGTGCAGCACTCACGCGCTGCCAGTGGTTCCTTCAAATGCGTTATCAAAGTTGTGTGGTTTCGGCACCTTCAAGGCACCACCAAGAGCAGCCTGGAAATATGTCAACTTCGATGTGAATAGCAGCCACTCAAGGACTTGGACATACCCAACCAGACACGACAATCAGGAGCACAATGATCAGCTTAATGATGCCAAGGAAGTTCTGCAACCTCAGTCCCCATTTGAGCGCACATCCATGAATGAGGAAAGCGGCGGTGATGCAGGCGAGCCCGACTCCTCGCTGATTCCACCTGTTCACTTCGACCTCGGCGGCGTGGAGAATGTACTCTCCGAAGATGACAGAGTTCGATCCGGCCCAACCGAGAAGGACGACATATCCAGTGTAGAATCCCGTGGCGAGGTATTTGGGATGTCGGTAGACAAATTCCAGGTAATTTTTCTCACCCCCGTTCTTGGGGATAGCTGTGCCAAATTCCAGATATACGGCCATACCGCACATGGCAATGATCATTCCAGCAACCCAGATGAAGAGGCTCAGACCAACGCTGCCGGACAGGGAGAAGATGGTGCTTGGGGTTGCGAAAATGCCGGTTCCAACCATACGGTTGAAGATGAGGAAGAAGGCACTGACGACACCAATCTGACGTTTCGTCTCTGTGAGGACATGGACGAGTTCGGAGGAATCTGGAAGCCTGTTAGCATCGGGCGGTATCTTCATGTCCTTTGGCGCATTGCTTGCCACCACCATTTCTGCCCTCTGAGTCAACATCCAAAGATGTCTTGTCTGTAGGTTGAGGAGTGTGTGCCGCAAGCGGGCGCTTGGGTAAGTAAGAGCGAACGCTGCTCAGCATGACTGAGAGTTGAGTGCCCGATGAATACTAGTAGTTCTGAAGATCTAAGTGGTAGAGTTGTGGAAGCCAGACATGTGCGAAACCACTGTCGGTCGACTGCACATATTTATCAATCGCATCGCATCGGACGTCGCCTTTGATACCACATCCTTGTGAGACCTGGATAGGCCGATCACGACGGGTCTCGCCAACTTCGCCATCTTTGACGTCGCATCGACAAGAAAATTTCGGTGGTAGGTAGCCTTGAGGTTGGGTGGTGTTACTTGTCATCTCAGCGAGCGGCCAATGACTCCCCCATCAGTCCGTAATGAGCCATAGTGCGGGTATGGGAGGCGGTTTCGGTGGGCACGAATTGCGATCGCGCCATTCTTGGTAGAAATTCGTCTCGCGTGGAAGAGGGAAATACCATTCAAGGTTGCGTTTATTGAGTAAGAAAAACGTGAACCTTCGAGGCTGAGAATGTTCCCAGCGGATAGGATCGGCTCTTTCCCAGTCTAGCGACCCACTGAGGGCCACTGTTAGCAACCGTAAAAGACACCATCACAGGAAAAGGGGACCAGGGGACCCAGTGAGCGATTGCGTGATTGGGAGGAAAAATGATGGATTGGACGAAGTGAAAATGCCTCCTACTCTGACACCCTTTCATCTCTAGGCTGCTCGGTGAACTGCTGGTGGGCGTCATCTTCGTCTGGACACTTAACACTCCTTGTTGGTTTGGATAAAAGAATTCTGCCTGCGCTGTGTGTTATAACATCCTCTTCTGATAGAGAAACGAGTTGTCGTCAGCCTCACGGAGAGTTGTGCCAAGCCCACTAGCCTCAAACTGACGATGATCGAGATTCTCTTGGCATACTTGGCACGCTAGTCTAGAAATAGTCGAATACGGGGAAGTCAGCCCCCACCCCCATCAGTTTGGCACGCGACATTCTTGTACTTGTAGAGCAGTCATGCGCTGTCGACATTCCAATTACCCCGGACCTCGAAGATATGTAGTACTCACTCGCTTAAAGTCGGGTCTGTATGACCATACAGCCACCAAGGTAATTGACCAACCACCATAAAAGGCTCACATGAATACAAGTTGGTCAAGTATGGCATGCAATGGTTGGCGTCCATGACCATGCGACCGACCCAATTGAGCACCAGCACGTCTCCAACCTGTGTCTGGATCCGGCAAGAAGAATTGCATTGGTAAGCAGGG